TGCGACTGCTACACACACATTTACAGATAGACACTTTGTATACACCGAGCAAACATAACCTAAACACAAATAAAATGCAAGTTTAAATAATCCCCGCCGAACGCATTGTATGTATTTAAATGTAGTGGATTATTAAGTTTGATTGAAAGCTAGCGTGTGCGACGCGCGCGCGCTCGCCGTCCATTTGCGTTCGTAAATTATTTGCGTTGTTAATTGCTTCATTAAACGCGACCGCGCGTCAATTAGCGCTTTGCGCTTTTTCGGTTTCCATAAACAATGCGAAAATTAATCAGGCATAAAATGTGTGGATGTGTTTATATCATCGATTGCCGGAGTTATTGTTTTATTTATTATTTTATAATGAAGCCTATTGTGAGTAATGGAAGGTGATTAAGTTAAGTCGTTTTTTTTTTGTGTGTTTTTGGAGGAATTTCCAGTTTGGGGAATAAAATTGAAGTGTAGGTATGTAGATTTCGTTTATCTTGATGCAAATAATGGTCGATGGTGTTTAAGACCTGACCTTTCTTCTTAGAAACACACGGTTGGGTGTTTACGGCCCATGTTGTCATCGTCGTCTTCTCGTTGCGCGCCTCACTTTTGGCGTGTTTTCTTCTCCCTCGGCTCGTTTTTGCCGGCGGCGCGCCTCGAGAGACACATGAAACTGTTGCGTCGTGCATATTTTCACTCGTTTAAGCACGGGGTTCTTGTGAAGTGGTCTAAAAGCACCCTCAACGCTTTTTAGACCGTAATACTTCAATTTTGACCTGTATTTTCGCAAAAACAGCTTTTTTAAAGCTAAAAATGAGTTGATAGGTACATAAGTACGTTGCGCATGCGTATTAGTAAAGTGGGCGGAGCATATTAGCATTATTTTGCTGTTATTTTGAGTTTTATGCGATTTAATTTAATTTTTGTGGATAATTTGCACAACACACTGTATTGTGGGTAGTTTAACTAATTCCGGAAACTGTGGCAACTATTCTGGCGGCGGCGCGTCCTCGGCATATAAACCCTCTTAGTCTTCGTGCGCTTCATCCCCCATTGCATCCCTTTCGCACACTCTCTCGCGCCGCTCGACCGCAATTTCCACAATAATTTAAATAATTCCGGACGGCGGCGGCGGCGGCGAAGCCAACAGCTTTACGCAATCCCCACCAATTCCACCAATCCGCAATCAACCCTTGTATTCGTCCATACAGTGTGTCCACACACACTAAAATTAAATAAAGTTATATCATTATGTTTACAATTTATTTGATATTTTAAAATTTAACTACTGGCGAATTTATTTAGGGGATGATTAAATTTATACAGTGTGTTCATGTGTGAATTATTAACCAATCGGCTAATCGACTAGTGTATAATTGACGAACTGACCGGAATTGGTAATTAAATGTGACTGCCACCGCCACAACCGCAACCACCCTCGCTGCCGCCTCCGCCGCTGCCACCGCCCTCACACAACTTGTAAATAATTTAAATAATCAATCGTACCACCGCCGAATATACATTAACCATTTAGGCATTAATTATTTACGCTGCGCTTCCTCTCTTTCTGTGGTTAACGGGGGGTGGCGGCGAGGGTGATAGTTGTAGTGGCGGTAGCAACCTTTCTTGTTGCGGTTTACTCTTGCATCTCTCTCTTATTCACACACACATACATAGTGCAGAGTAAATTTCGTCGGCGTGCATCTCCCCGCCTCTCCGCTGCCGCCCCCCGTCCGCGTTTCGTCTGTTGCTTCACTAATAGACTAAACTAGACTAGACTTGAGTGGGGTTGGAATGCGAAGGAGAGAAGTAAGGAATAACGCGATGCGACGCGAATAACAAGCGAGCGGCGGCGGCGCGAAGGGTGGGCGATGAGGATCAGAGGGGTTGAAGTGGTACTAATGCGGATTGCCGTATCAGCTGCGCGTCGCCCGCACGACTACGCTCGACGTATCATTAGATGCTGTTTTATTAACGTATTGCGGTCGTCTACGCCACCCCCGGGCACACGAATTCATCGCCGGCGGGGGGTGAGTTCTTGTTTATTAGCGTGACAAAGGAATAATAATTTTATCTTGGTGAATTATCATAATCTACACAAACACAGCCACACTGTATGGTAATTTATTTTTATATATTTTTATATTGAAAATGTGTTTTTGTTTGCGCGGGGAAAGCATGAAAAGCCGCGGAAAACTCTTTGAACATAATGTCGACTTTGACTCGACCCGAAAGCGTCGAAAGCTCCGAAAGCACCACCGCAGGCTTTCCAACTTCATCTCGAAAGTCTTTGGGGCTCGCCGCGACTTTTCCTCAAGATGGAAAACCTACGCCAACACACACACATACGTAAAGAGAGCAGAAAAAAAGAAGGAAGGAGTGGAAAGGAAAAAGCAACCGGGCGAAATAAAAAGCCCGTGAGGAAGTAGTTTTCGGTCGGATTACTCCCTCTGGCGGGCGGGTGGGGTTGTGTTACTTCGTGCGGAAAACTGATGGCAGACATGGCAGGATAACGCCGCCGCCGAGGAAAGATGAACGCCAACGCGAAAGTAAAAAAAAAACACGGCGCGCGGGAAAAAAAAGACGACGTGGAAAGCGGAAATCGTTTTCGGCTCCGCTTCGCAAGACTCACTCGTTCTTTGACGTTATCCTTCGTCCTTTCACAATTTCACATCACCACTATCTACTATATTTATATTAAAATATACAGTGTGTTTTGATAATATTTAACTCTCAACTTTAAGAGAAATAAACATTTTTTTAAATGAAATTTCTGAACACTCTGTATATTTGTTGATGTGTTTATGCTTGTGTCTAGTGTCTTGCGTCTTGAAACATTCAAAGCTTGTCCGCTTGTTCACTTATTCGTTATTCCCGTTGTGCGCGCAACTTTTTCCCGGTTTTCCCGAAGCTCTTATTTATTTTCAACCCCCAGCGGGCCATCTCTCCTCTCCTCCTGTCCTACCGCCCCCCACCTACGAACGAAAACAATTTTCTACTTTCTTTGCAAACTTTGTGTGTGCTGCTGGTGCTTCTCTCTTTTGTGTGTATGCTCACAAGTCTTTCAGGAGATCTTGAATGCTTTGAGCTTTTTCTAGATTTTCCATACTTATTTTCTTGTTTAAAGTTTTTGTTTGGAAATCCTGCTTCCCTCTCTTGAAGTGGGAAAACAGTGGCAAACTCACAGTGACGTTTCAATCCTTTTTCAAATCCTTGGGATAAAGATTAGAATGCGGATTTTTTTTTCATGCATACAGGGGAAATTTTTATTTGCGGGCGGTGAAATATTTTTCATCGCTTTTGACTTCGTCTGGTTGAAGTTTTTTTTTAGCGTAGTCGAAGGGTTTTCCGAACATTTCCATTTTATTTTCGCCGATTTTCCCACTTCCCAGCACGCAGCACACTTTGCTCAAGTTTCATTCGTTTCCTTGGGCGAGGTTTTTCCCCGCCGTCCTTGAATGCATTTGCTCTTCGTGGTGGAAAAGCGAGAACGGCTCAAGCGCGTGGGGTGAGCGGGAAAAACGCGAGAAAAGCGGAAAGGAAAGCAAAGCAATAGGGTGGGTCAAAACCACCCCCTTCAACATAAGCAATGTGAGCAACAAAGAGAGGCAGGGAAAAGAAATGGTTTGAGGTATTAGTTAAGGGAGTTAAAGGCGCTGCCTGCCACCCACCGAAAGTCTTTTCTTTGGCGCAGGTGTGGGGGCAAAGATTAAGGCTTTCCAAGAGTTTCCAAACAAAAAAATACAGTGTGCAACATAAAAATAACAAAACAAAAATTATTTCACATAAAATTCAATAAAATAAATAAAAAATTTATTTCTACATAAACACACTGTATATTTTTCTCCCTGAAGTTTGTGTGCGGTTGTGTACACGGCAATGAGTCCACGTTGACTTGACGCCCGCACGTCGGCAAGTTTCGCCAGCGTCTTCGGCCAATCCCAACGCTGGACTCTTGTCGCAGCCGCTACCCTTCGCGGGTCGTTGCAGTCGTACAGGCAGCCAGCGTGGCAGTTACTTAAGGGATGAAGCACCCTCGGAGCCGCAACCGGGCGGCGGCGGCGGCAGCGACACACATCCTTCTTGACGCGCGCTCCTCGTCGCTTGTCGCCTCGAGTTTACCGAGCAAGACATAACCAACTTTCAACTTTCGGATACACCTAAATACACCCCAGCCAACTCTACTAACACCCCCACAACGCAGGCAAAGTACCAGCAGTAAAATATCAGATAATACTCGGGGTTAAAATTTTTTCCGCGTAATAAAATTGATTTTTTGCTTTTCTGGGTTGCCTATGTGAATTAGGGGCAGATTTTAGGAACAATTGGTATATTCGAGGGGTTTTTGGCTTTTTTGCGCCCCGGTTTTATTTCTTGCTAAAGTGAAGTGAACGTCAGCGGAGCAACCGGAGCAGAATACGAAATTAATTTCAAAGATTTACAACTTGAGGGGTAGTTTAACTGATTCGTATTCAAACCGCATGCATTGTTCGCTTTTGACTTCTTTTTTTATATCCTCACAACAGTTACAATTTTTTTTCCCGGTGTTAATTGTTAATTTTTGATTAATTTTTTAAAAACTTGTGTGAACATATGGTATATGAGAGTGTTTCTTTTTGTAATATAAAAGTTTGACGAAATAAGAACCGTTGAGATTGTCACACGAATAAAAAGTAACGAAAATAAAAAGATGGCGGACAAAGTGGAGAAAAATGCGAGACGCGTAAGACGCGACGAGATAAAAGAAAAACGAACAAACTCTTCGAGTGTGCTGAGAGCGCTGAATCCTGAATCCGAATCCGGCTGCCGACGAGCACGGAATGCGCGATGGCGGAAAAGAACTCTGAGGAGAAGCAAAAAAAAAACAAGTGAAATGTATTGTAAACTTGCTCTCTCGAGTCTCTTCGGGCTACAGAAGTGCATGATTCATAAAACATGAGTCGCCAAAGTCAAATTACAATTTTAAAAAACATTTAGATTTTATTTTATATTTATTTGTTTTTATTTTTCAGATGCGAAGACATGGTACATAAAAATTGGCGGGGAAAAACAGGTACGTTGAAATTTGTTATATAAAGTCAGTGGCGTAACATCTTCATGAAATTAAAAATTTCAGGCGTGATTTATCGTTGATTATAGATTTGAATACTTCATCTTATTGAGAATTTCTCGTAGATTAATAATATTCAATCCGTTTTTCTCCATCACTTTTAGTTTGTGAGATAAACGCAATTGAAAAATAAAATTGAGGAAAAAAATTTAGAAATTTTACGTTTTAGCCTTTTTAGTCTCGATTTTGGATCTTTTATTCTTTGAAATTAAATTATTTTATATTCCTATTTTATAGAGAATTTTCTAATCTTTAATAATCTTCAATCCGTTGGTTGTTATCACTTTTAGTTCAAAAGATATTCGTTACTGAAAATATTCAAAAAACATATCGGTTGATACTTGTTATGTAAAGTCAGTGGCGTAACACTTTCCCGAAATTAAAAATTTCAGACGTGATTTATCGTTGATTATAGATTTGAATACTTCATCTTATAGAAAATTTCTCGTAGATTAATAATATTCAATCCGTTTTTCTCCATCACTTTTAGTTTGTGTGATAAACGCAATTGAAAAAAAAATGAGGAAAAAAATGAGAAATTTATTTTTTAGCCTTTTTAGTCTTAATTTTGGACTTTTTACCCTTTGAAATTTAGTTATTTTATATTTTTATCTTTTAAAGAATTTTCCAAACTTCCATAATCTTCAATCCGTTTGTTGTTATCTCTTTTACTTTAAAAGATATTCGTTGTCGAAATACTCGAAAAACATATAGGTTGATATTTGTTATGTAAAGTCAGTGGCGTAACACTTTCCCGAAATTAAAAATTTCCGACGTGATTTACCGCTGATATAGGTTAATGTGACTCGTTGGAAAAACCAATAAATGCTTTCTTCCACCCTACAAAAGTAGCAGAACGTTAGAAAAAGATAAAGGCAGCGGAAATGAAAATGAAAAACGCAAAGAAAAGCGAGGAAGCGATTTATACAACTGCGCGCATATGAAACTGTAGCGAGAAAGAGAGTATAATAAAGCAGCAGGCGCGCGGGCGGCGCGCTCGCAGGGGATGAAAACGTTTCGCTCGGATTTTCCACGCTTTTCTTTGCCAGCTCTTTCTATTACGCTTCGCGTACTTAGTGGACTGTTGACGAGAGTAATGGGCTAGACACACTCCCGAGAGTCTTGAAAACCTTTTCCTCGAGAGGGCGAGTTGAGACAAGGGCGATGTGAAAATATCTACATACAATGTGTTCAACATTAAAAATATTTAAAACTTTCATAGAAGTTTACTTAAATTTTATTTTAAAAAGGTTAAAATATTTTAATTAAAAATTCTATTTTGAGGAAATATTTTTAAAAAACTTGGAACACATGGTATGTATTTTTTATATCCAAGAAAGTTGTAAATGCTATATAAATGCCACGCCGCGTCTACAACTTTGGCATCCATAATATCCACATCCACACCCGCGGGGCCTGAGCGCGGGTGGCGGGGGTGTGACCGGGGGTAGTTATGAAGGTTGGCGGCGGCAAACAAGCGCGAGAGGAGAATGTGCACCCCAGCGTGAAAAGTATTAACGCGCAGCGCTTTGTTTTCACGCGTGAGTTGAAAAAAGACGGAATAACAAGGAAAACTCGAAAGCTGCTGAAACTGTGTGTGGTCGTGCGGAGGCGGCGGCGGCGGCGGTGAAGCAATAAGCTCGGAATTAGTCCGGATTTATCGATTTATCATTCGTACAAACAAAAACAAACGAATTTATTAGATTTAAAGCAAGAAAAAACTAAAATTAATTTAAATTCAAATTTGAATATCGATATTGCTAATATCACGCGTCGTTAATAACTGAAAACATATTGGTTATAATAGAGTTCGGTTGATGATCGTGATTGGTGATGAGAGCACTTAGCGTGCGGCGTCCGTGCGGCCGGCGCGTACATTAATTAACTGGATGTAACTTTAATTGGAACCAGTTTGTCTTAATTCCACGATTTCATTATATCTATCAGCACGATCACGGCCACAGCGTGCATACAATGTGTTTAGAAACACATTTTTTAAAATAAATAAATTTTTACTCACTTGTTTAAAATGTTGCCAACTTGTGTGGTTGCGGTTTGAAAATTTAAAATAACCTTTGTGCCACGTTTCCCGTTTGCATGCGTTTCCATTTTCATTTGTTTTTTTGTTTTTCATTTCGCGTCGCTTTGTTTTGTAGCCGCGCGCCGGCGAAGAGAATTCGCCTGCCTGTGTGTTTGGCTTTTGTTTATTTTTTATTTGCACCCTTTTTTGTTGTTGCTGTTGTTTTTTTATTTCGCGTGTGCGGTCGGCGGTTGTCGGGTGAGATTTACCGCCCACACACGCTCGCGACTCCATTACGGCAACGCAACAAAAGAAAAAGTTAAATAAAACAAAAGAACGTGATACATGCGCTCGTACAAGCAAAACGGGTGGACTAAACTACTAAACATTTGCGTTTAGCAAAAATAAAACCAGCAAACTGGCGAACAAAGTCGTTTGCACTTTGTGTTTTGTGCATGTTTTCGCCCACGCGAGAACACTGCATCTATTTACATGCATCGCACACGTGATTACAATTTAAATAAACGAAACAATGTTTCTGGTTTGAAATTGAAGTAAATTTTGTTTTGTGGTTTGAGTAAGTGCGGTCCTGGATGGAGATGCATTCAATTTGCGTTTATTTCTATTGAAATATCGTGTTGCGGCCGTTTAATTGCAGTTTATGCGGCATCATTCAATAATAATAACGTGCTCACCAACACTCAACGCAGTGTTCGCCGCGCGGCGATCGCGTTTATAAAGCTGTCGATGTCGGCCTGTCCAACCGCGTCGACATCGTCGACATCGACATCAACATCGGAAAGCTATTCGTATTCACGCTTTCAAACGGTCCATGAATGAAAACGTGTTACGAGCATCAGGCGCGTCAAATCGAACAAGCGTGTAACAATCATGGCCGACATTTTCTCGATTATTAAATTATCTAGGGGCTTCTGAGTTTTAGGTTTTAGTCTCTAGTGGCGAAAGGGCCATGCCCAAGAGGTATAGTTACCTGTAGATTAATAATCTTTAATTTGTTTGTTTCTATCGCTCTTAGTTCTGGAATAATCGCTAATATCACTTTGCCTGGAAAACACACCATATATCTATACAAATCGACATTATTTTCACATTTCAAAAAATTGGCTTAGATAACAGCCTGTATCTCGTGAATTAATACACATTTTGTAAGTTTCTAAAGGCCATGTTATGGTTTAAGAGACGCTCTACATGTTAATTGACAATATGTACTGCATACAAAAGTGGAAACACGTGGAAATATTAATTATTGATTATAATAGTCTAAATTGTAGGACTAGTTAGTATCTGTCGCATTCATAGATGGCACTAGGATGCACTAAAAATCAAAAAATTGAGTTATACGGCTTATTTTTATATTTATCGACAAACGTGGGCACGCATGTGTTCCGCGTGCTGTCTCCTAACGCCGCATCAACTTGCTGCATGCAGCGAAGTCTGGTTTAGTTTAGATCACAGGTAATGTGCCTATTGCAAATTCGCGCATAAGGTATCATGCCGTCCACGCGCCGCCGTGTTTGCGCATCTATTGCAATTCGCGCACAAGGTCGCGTGCCGTCGACTCGCCGGCTTTGCGCACCTCTTGCTTTCTTATCATATACTGTCCCGTCGTTGTTTACGCAGTTTCAGCATGCACTATCGGTGGATTGCAGCCAGTTTTGTGCCGGTGGCTGGTTAATCCAGTCGGGTTTTGAGAGACTTATATCGTTTATTCGGACTTCAATATTCTAAATTTGTGTTATTGATAATATTGATAATATTCATCTGCCTGATGATGTCACAGTGTGGCGAAACATGTCGCAGAGTGGTAAAAGTTTTTGCGAAACCCTTAAGGTTTATCCTTTCTTTCTTTATTTGTACTTTGCGACTATAGCAATTTGTTTAATGTTCGGAAATGCCGGTTTTTGATCGCGTTTGTTATGTATTTTACAAGTCACGTGATAGTGGATTTGATAACATTCTTCACTCGGCGTTGCGTTTGGTGTCGGTTGCTAAATTAAGGTATATATCGCCCCTATGTTGATTCTCATCATTAAGAAAGATCCATCAGGCTCCTGTAAGAATTTTTTTAACTAAACCGCAGAGATTGTTTATTTTGTGTTGATTGTTAATTATAACATAATTCAAATGTATGAAATATATTTGTTTTAATTAATGTTTTCGTTTAGTTACAGCACTCGTTGTGCCTGGCAGTCCGATAAGCTGTACATTGGTAAGTTTATAATTCAATTAAATTTTTCGGTCAAATTTTCATTTGCTGTTTATAAACAAGTTTTCTATTTGTCACGTACTACCTACCTGTGACACAAATTAGACTACCGACACGGTCGGACACAATTATAATTATAATTATTTTATATTTTTATCTGATAGGGAATTTTCCAGTCTTTCATAATCAGCAATTCGTTCGTTGCTATCGCGTTTAGTTTAAGAGATATGAATTATCAAAAATCGTCGACAAAAAGTATCAAGCACCCCCCCTTGGCAATTTTTTCTTAAGAATGAAAATTTCATCTCTCAGATTTCCGTTTTAACTAGCCTATCTTATAGAGCATAGTCCGTAGATTAAGACGCTGCGATCGGATCTTAATTATCTCTTTTAGTTTATGAGATATTCGCGTTTGAAGAAAATGGGCAAAAATTGAAAAATGTCACTTTTTAGCACTTTTAGTTGCGTTTTTCGACCTCTTACTGTAAGAAACATAATTATTTTATATTTTTATCTGATAGGGAATTTTCCAGTCTTTCATAATCAGCAATTCGTTGGTAACTATCTCTTTTAGTTTAAGAGATATGAATTTTTGAAAATCGTCGAAAAAAAGTATCAAGCACCCCCCCTTGGCAATTTTTTCTTAAGAATGAAAATTTCATCTCTCAGATTTCCGTTTTAACTAGCCTATCTTATAGAGAATAGTCCATAGATTAAGGCCTTTCGATTCGTTTCGCTCTATCTCTTTTAATTTACAAGATATCTGCAATTCCTTTAGAATTATTTTTTTTAGGTGGTATTGTTGCGCCACTGTTAGTCTTCAGATATTTGGTATCACTATATTGATTCGTTTTCTGAAATTAACATCCTGTTTTATACCTAATGCGACTGCCCTTAAAACTGTTTGGAACTTATTCAAAAACGCCATCAAAAGATCATAATACGAATTTCTAACATTAATTTTTGTTACAGTTATGGTTTGGCATTCAATCGACGCACTTCTGTGATGGATCCACTCTCGATGTATGTGAATAATCCTTTATGATTTGAGACAGCTTCCTGAATTCTGAAATAATGACCTGGATGGCGGAGGGTGCTTTCAAACCTGTCTACGAAGATGTCCAGTTGAACATGAAATGGATGAAGACGAACCACATCTCTGTGAAAAAATGGCTAATGGTCCACTCCAGAGTGGAAAACAAATTTTCATTAGTTGTTGCTTATTTAGATTTGTAAAATGTAGGCATTGTTTCTTACGTATAAGGATAATTAATTGTTATTACTTGAAATGATGATTTATTTGTTCGGGTGTTAATATATTTTATATTATGAATGAGAACATTTGATTAATTTATTATTTAAAATGTTACCTTTTCTGTCAATTACAGGAATAAAAATAAAAGGAACTTAATTTGTATTAACTTCTCCTTAGAATGATTAATGCCGAAGAACATGACCGCACTATTTTCATAAAATATTTTTGCTCGAAGAACAGGGTCGCACTTATTTCGAAAAATTATTTCGGGTCGAAATAAATTAAAATGTTTAATTGCAATTTTCTCGGTAACTAAAAGGGTTAGCATAAAACGGGTATCAGATTTTGAATACCTGAAGGATTCTCTATCTAATATTTATATAACATCTTTGCTAATTTTAACAATTTGGGCCTTATTCTTAAATTTTCATTAAAAATGTAAATAGGGCCGAAACTGTCGATAATAGAAAAAATCTTACGTAGATAATTGATATAGAATTAAGTTATCTATTAGAATCCGAAATCAGAATTAAAAAATTCCAATTATTTCAAAAGCTGCATTTGCTGAAATAAATGATTTCGTCATAAAAAAGGCAAAAGATTTCTCTTTTTTATGACGAATGCAGTTTTCAATAAAAATGCCAATAGGGCCCAAACGGTTAACGTTAGCTAAAAAAGTTACTTAAATAATCGATGTAGAATTAAATTATGTATCAGAATCCGAAAACAGAATTTCAAAATTCCAACTTTTAGTTTTCAACATAAAAAAGAGAAATCTTTTGCCTTTTTTATAACAAAATCTTTTCTTTAAAAATTTTTTGTGCCATTTTTATCATTTTTTGATAAGGATGCCATCTTATAGAGAATTTTTCAAGGATCAAGAATATGTAGTTCTTTTTTTTTCTTGCGCTATTAGTTGTCGAGCTAATTACGATTTAATTATCTAATTAGGAATATTGAAAATTAAAAATTGGAATTTTTAAATTCTGTTTTCGGTTTCTGATAGACAATTTAATTCTACATCGATTATTTTAGTAAGTTTTTTTGCTAATATTAACCGTTTAGGCCCTATTTGCAATTTTAGTAAAACACGTGTGTTCCGTCGGAATAGTCAAATTGAGTAAATTAAAATGTTAATTATCTCGACAACTAAAAGGGCTAGAAAAAAAAGAACTACATATTCTTAATCCTTGAAAAATTCTCAACAAGATGGCATCATTATTGAAAAATGTTAAAAATGGCACAAAAAATTTTTAACGAAAAGATTTTGTCATAAAAAAGGCAAAAGATTTCTCTTTTTTATGTTGAAAACTAAAAGTTGGAATTTTGAAATTCTGTTTTCGGATTCTGATACATAATTTAATTCTTCATCGATTATTTAAGTAACCTTTTTTGCTAACATTAACCGTATAGGCCCTATTGGCAATTTTATTGAAAACTGCATTCGACATAAAAAAGATAAATGTTTTGCCTTTTTTATGACGAAATCTTTTTTCAGCAAATGCCACTTTTGAAATAATTGGAATTTTGAAAATCTGATTTCGGATTCTGAAAGTAGATTAAATTCTGAATCGGAAACCAGTAACACATTTAAAGATTAAGGCCTTATTGGCCCTTAAAAATCAATTTTCTCTTTAAATTGCAAATATGGCCTAATCGGTCAATGCTAGACAAAAATTTTACTTAAATAATCGATGCAGAATTTAATTATCAATCAGAATCCGAAATCAGAATTTAAAAATTCCTAATTAGAGCTAATTAGAGCAATAATTCATAAAATAACCTAAAAAACTAGGATAAAAATGAGGTAGATTGAAGTATAAGTCAAATATATCATTTATTTATCAATAATTTAAAAGTTTCATGTAATTTTTTATAACTATTCATATTGTGGTTCTAAAAAGAACCGTTTTTGTTAATCCATCATCTTTTTCTTTGGCTATGTCCTCGGTTTTATTCCTTACGGGCGATCTATAAAGTGAGTTAATCCAGGACTAAATCAAAACACATACACACATTATCAAAGTTGTATAGTTGTCAGTTGCGAGGGTAGTGGAGGCGGTTGATGTTTAGAATCTAGCGGCGAGCGAGAAACCCTCGACGCGGTTAATTTAATGTTAATGGCGTAAAGCGGCGCCGACGGCGGCTGCATGTGTGCGGCGGCGGTTATAGTGAAACGAGGGGCGGTAATGAGCAGATGCGCGGTTGCGGCCACGCCGGCGGTCACCGACTATTCGCACACTAGCATGTTTACAATTTTCCCTACATCACACAACACAGGACCGGACTCAATACAGGCCATCAATACACAACTATACAATCCGTTGGTATATTTAAAAATTAAAAATCAATATGGCGCATATTTCATCAAGTAACAAATCAAACAAACAAAATTCTATCTAATCAATCATCTGCCCTTCCCACCCTTGGAGTTCTTCTTCCATTTTGCGTAGAATTCACTGATGAGCTCAACATTCACGCCCACAGACTGAGCCAGGCCCACGTAGCTAAACTCTTTGGTGGAATCAGCTCCACCCATGACACCCCCAGTCATTGCTCCGCCCATTAATAGCGTGACTAAATTAGCCCCGCCTCGTTTTTCCTGCTCGGCGAGGAAGTGGCAACATTCAATTATCTGAATATGCACCACCGCTTCCTTCTCCTTCTTCTTGGGGTATTTAATCAGGGGTAAAGTGAGCCGCTCGTGATGCCGCTGCAACCGGAAGAAGCGATTGCCCTGCCGGAACTGCGACTCTAACCAGCGGATCACTTCACGCGCCTCGGATTTAATCTTCTTTAAATCATCCAGAGCGCATAAAACTAAAAAATAAATATTTAAAGTAAAAAACTTTTTTTTTTCTTCTAAAAAATATTACCTGTAGTCGGAACAAGTATAAGAAACTTCCGGGAGTAGACTAACTGTTTGACCATGTCCATGTGTTTGATAAGTGCTTCAACATCAACGACCAAGTACGGCGAGAGAGACATCTTGCCCTTAACGCGACTCTCAAGATCCCGCACCTCGGCAGCCAGCCACAGTTGTCCCATGTGCTTCATCAACTGCCGCTTGTTGTCGCGGTCGTTTACTTTCGCCCCGGCGTTGTTTTCCGTTGGTAAATTCGCATCGAAAGCTTCCTGCAAACAAAGCAACACAAAAATCATCAAAATGGCGGACTTTTCGAATGTAAATAATGTTGATCGGATTATCGCCCAGCGCAGAAAATAAACACGATTTGCGCAAACCGGAAGCGCGGGTGTGTTAAGCCGACGCTACTACTATCCAAAACAGGGGAGGAGAGGCTGTCTTAATTAAACAAAGCGGGTCGGTTGGTCGGGCGGCGCTCCGCAAACCGGAAGTAATGCAATTACGACTCGTTTCGCGAAAATTGCCGTACAGTCTGCTGCGCGCCAAACATACAATATGTTCACAACACAAAAATACTAAAAAACCTACCAAATCTTCAATGGTTGTTGGTGAAATGTCATCTCCATCAACACTTCGCATATCCACATGGAACATCCTTGACTTTCCATCATAACTAACTCCAGTCTCAACATGTTCCTCCAAAAACTGCCCAAATTGAATCAATTTACAAATCCGCACCAAACCTTCATCCTGCCTCTTCCCATACATCTTCCAATCTAACCCTTGCTGCCCACATGCTACCACCTCCATGTCTTTCAATAAAATATCCTCTGTCAATGGCGTTTGTACAACATTCAACTTACAAGCGTTTTTTATCTTTTTCAAGTCAATATTAATCAAATTAAACAAATAAACCAATTGTGAGAAGAGTGAACGGGTGCTTTTTCCACAATTGCGTAAAACATCCACATCACTCCTCAACCAATCCGATAATATCTTTATACTCCCCAAATAGGTCTCCTCCAGTATAATATCGAGCACATCCTTCACCTCAATTAATTTTAACTTGGCGAGGGTTTCCTTTGATGTGTCTTTAGTTTCAATAATAACATCTCTGTCATCATCCTCGTCATCAACCAATTCATCATCGGAAGAGGATGCTAACAGCTCCACTTCCGGTTCATCTTCAGACCCAGAAGGCGAATCTAGTTCAACTTCAGGATCTGATTCGGAATCTTCATTATCACCGATTTTTTACGTCTCCTCGCGAAAAGTTTCAATTTTTTCCGGGTTATTTTACTCTCCTGCAGGGGAAATTCAAAATACTTTCCTGTATTCTTCCGGTGACATGTTGGACAAGTTGTGAGTACACCGCAAGTGTAAATGCAATCACATTCGATAACTGATGTGAATTATTACTACCCTGTAACTTTGTAATACACTGTAAGCAAATTACAATAATTTTGAATATCATATCAGACGTTAGAAACGCCGCATGTGATTCCGTGACGGATTCTGTGTCAGTATGGTCGCCATTTTGTGAATCTCCACTTTCACTCGATACAGGTCTCAAGAATGATAAACACTCCTGTAGATCTAGATTAGTTTGATGGCATAGGTCGTAAATATGTGGGATTTTTTATTAAAGAACCAAACATCCGCAAGCAGCAGGAATCTAGCGAGAAACCGTCGTACTTGTTCCGTGGGTTCAAGTTGCGCGATGGAATCCGTGGCGCCATCTGACGTCTCCACCGGGAGTGACTCGATATATTGCGCGTTCTTCTCAAACAAGCGATGGAGATTATTCTCAGTGCCTTCGAAACTATTCTTTGACATTAAACACTGGATGTAATGATAAGTTGCATCCAAATGTTGGTTTAAAGACGTTGCAAGCGTTCCCATTTGATTGTGTGGCATGCCAAACTCAGGTTTCATAAGCAAAGCTTGTGAATAATAACGAATCGCTAGATTCGGATCAAAATTCGGGTAGATTTCGAGTTTATAACGGCATAAATCGCCTAAATAGATGCATGATCTATGCACGGATGATAAACACCACTCTTCGAGTTCATTCTCATCGCTTTCTTTCTTTTTATTGGATAAGTCTGATCTTTTGGTGGATTTTTGATTGATGATGTAGAAATCAATCGTGGTTTGCGACTCGAATGAGATTTCAAACTCGGTTTGCAGCCGTGATATGTAGTGGTGATAATGGCCAATGCCGGCATTGATGTGGTTGATCAGTGCGGATTTCTCTTCGATGTTGTATTCGGTTTTTTTCAAGCGTTTGGCTGTGGCGATTACCTCGTAGTAGACTTTACGCCAGAGGAGTTCTTCTGCTTTCAGGCCGAATGAGAGCGGTTCGGAAAAAATTAAACGCTCGCAGTATTCTTGGAGACGGCTGCGTTGAATCTGCACCGATGGTTGAAATAAATCTTTTATGCTGGTTGCGCATCCGCGGGTGTCGTCCAATGTCTTGACGCGTTCACTAATTGATCTAAACATGAAAACATTAATTAATTCATGAAAAATTGCAAAATTTGACCTGAAATCATGAATGTTTGACTTCTGAGCTGGATATATTTATAATTTTATATAAATTTAACCATCTGGATATAAATATATATAATTTTTCAATATTTTTCTATAAAAAAATAGTTCAGACCGCTATTATTCACATGATATACTTTTCATGTTGAGGTTACGTTGATTTCATAACACAACATGTTGAAATAATTTTTAAAATGTCGGTTTTAATGAATTTTAAGTAATTTTATACTAGTTTTAATAGTACCTATAGATTTTCTTGGACTTTTCCTGTCCCTCCTTGCTGTGATTAAGAGTAATCATTTTCTTCATGTCTGGATTCCACATTTTGCGCGCGTTGTTTCTCACATTTTTCTTTCACGTGCCTTAAAATCGCCTCGGTCAAGAGGAACACATTTCTCGTCCGCCACCCACGAAATTCGCGCTCATCACCGCCCTGCGTGCATGATAATCGTGGATAATATTCTGCGACGTCCTCGCGACCATTACACTCTCTTATCGCGGTTGGAATTTGATGGTTATGCATACGTCGAAGGAATTTTTATTTTTTTACTTTATTTTAGACTATTTAGCCACTATAATGAAAGAAAACTGTGGGAAAATAATTTTTAAACAATTTTTCATATTTTTATGCGCGTATTTATTAATTAAATGATTTTATTTATAAAAATAAGATGTTTAACGTTTAAACTTGCGCCTCTAGCGGTGACAACGCAAAACATTAACTTGTCAGATAAATATTTGAAATATTGCTTAATTTAAACAGTTTTATGAGTAAAAACTAATAAATTCCATCACAAAAACATATTTTATTGTTATTTTCATACATAATATCATTATTTATCTTCAAATAAACATTCAATCCGACCTAATAACCCTGACATTTTTCTTGTTGTTGAATTTACCTCATAACCTGCAAATAAACGTTTAGCATCGTCCAGAAAATACCAAATGCCTAAAGTGTCTCTAAACATCTAAAATCACAAACAATCATGTCGTACTTATCACGCAAAGACATCGACGAATTAAAACCGTTGGTGGATAAAGCAATCTACAAAATCCTAGGCACCAACGACTCATTTCTCCTCAACAAATCACTAGATTACCTGGAAGCAAACTACGACCGCCGAAAAACCGTCGACAAACTCTCCGCCTACGTGGACAGCAAGAAAGCCTCACGTTTAACTGATAAACTATTTGATATTTTAGACGATCTGCGTTACAAATCCAAGAAAAGAAGTTACGATGACCGCGAGGAGAGCCGAAAACGCGGTAAAACAAACGAACGCGACACAATCCGCAATCGCGACCACGACAAAGAAAAAGAGAAAAATGTTGATAAAGAAAAGGAAAAAGACGAGAAAAAGTTATCCAGTTCCGAGATACAGACCATGATGGACAAAGCACAGCGACAAATCGAAGAACGCAAACGTTCCTTGGATTCTACAACGAAAAAATCCGCGGCTGCATCAATAGCGAATATTCAAATCCCACCTTCGAGTATTTACGGTATCCCGATGGGGTTGTTAAATAGAGGAGACGCAGATAAAGCACGGAAGATTGCCGCGTTACAGGCGCAGATCAAAACGAAACTCAGCAGTGGAATCTTAGCGAATGCAATTGTACAATCTGTCCCAGTTCCAGATAAACCCACCCCGTTGATTTTAGATGATGAAGGTAGAACTGTTGATCGTACTGGTAAAACTGTTCAGTTGACACATGTTGCGCCCACGTTGAAGGCGAATATTCGCGCGCAGAAAAAGGAACAGTACAAATCCGCAGGGAGTTATAAACATAATGATGATTCGAATGAAACTAAGTTTTTGATTTGCGCATTGGTGTTAAGCCTGCCATGCGCACAAAACGCGCGTTGAGGTTTCATGAACCCGGAAAGTTTACGCAGCTAGCTGAGAGATTGCGTATGAAAGCGCAATTGGAGAAATTACAGAATGAAATTTCGCAGATTGCGAAAAAGACTGGGATTTCTTCAGCGACGAAATTGGCGTTGATTGCGAAGAGTGAAGGTTTGACTGAGGATATTCCGGAGATGGAATGGTGGGATTCGGTTATTCTTGAGGAGGATTTGTATACGATGAAAGGGGAGAAGATTGCGATCAAGGAGAATGTTATTAATAGTTTGGTGGAGCATCCTACACAGATGAGGTGTCCAAGTGAGTCAAATTTTGTTAATTTTTTGATAAATTTGGTTGTAATTTGGTAGTGAAAGAAGATAGAAACAAAATGTTTGCATTGGTAAACGCAGAATTAAATTCTGGATAATTTGGTGAAGAATTCGTTATTGTAGCTTATTTATTTTTAAAGTTATTAATGAAAAACTGCAGAAAACAAGTACTTTTTCATTTTAAGTCGATTTTTCTTTATTTTTGTTATAAATTTGTTTATAACTTTTTATTGAAAGAAGTTTGATACAAATTTTTTGCATTGATTAACGCAGAATCTAATTCTTGACAATTTACTGAAGGAATTGGTACTAAAAGTTGTTTAATTAAAAAGTTATTTAGCAAAAACTGCAAAAAACCAGAATTACTCGATTTTTTGCCATTTTTTGTTACAAATTTGTTTATAACTTTTTACAGAAAGAAGATAGCAAAATAATCTTCGCATTAGTAAAAACAGAATTTAATTCTGGACAATTTATTGAAGGAATTGGTACTAAAAGTTGTTTAATTAAAAAGTTATTAAGCAAAAACTGCAAAAAACGAGAATAACTCGATTTTTGTCATTTTTTGTTACAAATTTGTTTATAACTTTTTACAGAAAGAAGTTAGCAACAAAATCTTTGCATTAGTAAAAACAGAATTTAATGCTGGACAATGTGTTGAAGAAATTGTTATTATAATTTATTTATTTTAAAAGTTATTAATCAAAAACTGCAAAAAAAAACGAAAACTCTCCGTCACAAGTCGATTTTTCTTCATTTTTTAATACAAATTTGTTTATAACTCTTTATAGAAACAAGTTAGCAACCAAATCTTTCCACTAATAAACACAGAATTTAATTCTGGACAATTATGTGAAGTAATTGTTGTTGCAATTTGTTTAATTCAAAAGTTATTAACCAAAAACTGTAAAAAATAAGAACTTTTCCACATTTACCTAAAATTTACTCAATTTTTAACCATTTTGTACCATTTTAAACATTTTATTCTTATTTTTCAGCTGATCCATTGAAACCTGTCTACATGCCGGTCTTCCTCACCCAAAAAGAACGCAAAAAACTCCGCCGACAAAACCGCCGTGAGATGTGGAAAGAAGAACAAGAGAAAATCCGCCTCGGCTTAGAAGCACCACCAGAACCCAAACTTCGTATTTCGAATCTAATGCGTGTCCTAGGCACAGAAGCTGTTCAAGACCCTACGAAAATCGAAGCACACGTCAAAGAACAAATGGCTAAACGTCAAAAAGCCCATGAAGAAGCAAACGCCGCCAGACAACTCACAGCTGAACAAAAACGCGAGAAAAAGATTAAAAAACTAAAAGAAGACACCACTCTTGGTGTACATGTAAATATCTATCGGATACGTGATCTACATGATCTGCAAGCGAAGAAATTCAAGATTGAAACGAATGCTAAACAATTGTTTCTCACTGGTTGTGTGTTAATGTATCCGGATTGTTGTGTTGTCGTGGTTGAAGGTGGACCAAAACAACAGAAAAAGTATAAACGATTAATGTTGCATCGGATTAAATGGGAGGAGGATATTGTTAAGGATCCGGATGGTAATGAAGTGCCCAATAAGTGTACGCTAGTCTGGGAAGGTACAAGTAAACAGAGGAATTTCGGCGAGCCTAAATTCAAAGTTTGTCCGACTGAGAAAATGGCGAGGGAACATTTTAAGAAGCATAAAGTTGAACATTATTGGGATTTGGCGTACAGCGGGGCCGTGCTTGAACCAACAATGGATTCTGATTAATTTAGGGCTAATGAAGTGTATTTTAGGATATGTGTAAAGAATACATATGATTTTCTATCAATAATTCAGTATTTGAGCAAAAATGTGACAAAATGATGAATGTTAGTGTTTTTTGTTAAATTTTCGCTTGAAATTTAGTTTTGCAGCAGCAAAATGATGATAATTGGTTGATTAGGATATATATTACAATGATTTCTATGAATTACATGAAATTGATAGTTTTATTTGGGTTTTTATAGCTGAAAAACATTAAAAAATGGTAAATTTTCCTATTTGTGTTGTCTACGTGACGTATTTTGGGTTGCCTATAGTATAAATTGATATTTTTATACAATTTTGCTTTAAATTAAGTTCCAAAACAGCAAAAACATTAATAATTGGTTGTTTAAGTTATATATTAACAATGCTTTCTATAAATTATAGATGTGATTGTTTAACTTCGGTTTTTATTACTAAAAACATAAATTTTTATAAATATTTCATGTTTTGTCTACGTGACGTATTTTGTGTTGCCTATCTCAAAACAAAAATTCTCGCATTTTATAATCCGCCGATAGATTACATCGTCTTTTTCCTTATCTGCAAACGAATGTAATGTTTGCATTGGTCCGCAGTGGCGGTGGCAGCTATCTCCGCGCGCTCTAAATATAAACTCGAGTGGCTCGAGTGCTTCGTAAATTTAGCTCGCGATGCGCGCGCGCGTTTGAAACAATATGCGCGCGTGGTTAAAAATACTGGTGACACACACAACAACGCTGCTCTCGCGGTCGCGCTCGCGATTCCTGATCCTGCGGACGGCGGCTTCCGTAAACAAGTTTAATGAATCTACAGTATAACACGGTGGAGTAACTTGTCAAAAGGTAAACATACCATCCACACACACACACACACGCGCACACACGCACCAGCTGATTGGGCGTGCGCAGTGGGGACAAAACGCGAGTGTAAAAACAGTAAAATAAAAAACTAAAACACAAGAAACAACGTGCGGCGGGCCGTCGGTGGGAGTCGTTACAGTTGGTTTGCGCACATTTTTCCAACTGCGACACATACACACGGGCGCCGATACACGCGAAACGTGCCCGTGCAAGATGCCCACTATCTGCACATCGCGTTGTCGTTGCTAACTCGCTACGTAAAAAACAAGTCAGGCACAAGATACAAGAGACACGAGGAAGTAAGCAGGAAAGCAAGCAGGAAAACTATTATAAAACGTAGGGTTGGATTTAATTATTTTCTTTTTATTTTATATCTGTGTATGATTATTGTGATTGATTTGATTATGTCGTAGTCATCACCACGCACGTTTTGGGCTTTGGAGGAATCCAATTGGAGGATTAGACAGCAGCGCTTGAACGTCAACATGTTGTTGTCCTGCAAGTGCCTCAATGTCCACCTTGATGTGGATGCTGATGATGCTGGGCTGCTTAACTTGAATAACCTGCAGCTGGGCGATGGACTGGCCCAGGATGTGTTTTTTAATCAGGTAAATATTTACATTTTCATCGTTTTTTTCTGCGATTTTTTATGAATAACTATGAATAACTTAGAAGCGTAACGTGGTAGAGTGTTGATTCTTTCTGGTGATGATTAAGTATTAAATTCTGCGTTTTATTTCGTGAATGGTTTTTGATTTGCTGTGTTGCATAAAAAGTTATTGGATAATAAAATTGAAAGTTGGTTTTTGGTTAGAAATTCTGATTTTTGATAAATTTGCTTATAACTTTTTATTGGAATAACATTACTACATAGTATTTGCACAAATAAACGTAGAATTTAATTCTGGACAATTTGCTGAAGGAATTGTTATTATAACTCATTTATTTTAAGAATTATTAATCAAAAACTGCCCAAAACACCTTCAGTCGATTTCCAGCCGTTTTTGTGATAAATTTCTATATAACTTTTTACACAAAGAAGATATCAACAAAATATTTTCATAAATTAACGCAGAATTTAATTCTGAACAATTTGTTGAAGGAATTGTTATTAAAACTTATTTAATTTAAGAGTTATTAATGAAAAACTGCCGAAAAACAAGTAATTTTCGACAACCGGTTGATTTTTCATCATTTTTGTGATAAAATTGTTTATAACTTTTGATTGGAAAAAGTTAGCAACAAAATCTTAACACAAATAGACGTAAAATTTAATTCTGGATAATCTTGTGAAAGAATCATTATTGTAACTTATTTAATTCAAAAGTTATTAATGAAAAACTACAAAAACTTAGTAATTTTCCACTACTATTCAATTTTTATCATGATTTGTGTTAATTTATTTATTTAAACAGATTATCTACACGTTTATGACTTGATATGATGCAGAATTGAATAATGCCCATTTTGTGCAGGAATGCTCATTGTTGATTGTTTAGTTTAATGAGTGATTAAGTAAATACGTGTCCGTGAGTCGCTTATATCATCCTCGAGTGCGCTTTTGATGAATAACCTTGCAATGAAACACGATACGATAACAATTCTTTCAGGAGTTTATTCAGAATTAAATTCTACATCTAATGCTAATAAAATTTGGTATTATAAACAAGTTTTCATAAAGTTATAAACATTTTTGTTGCATTTTTACGCATTTTAACCTTAAATGAGAGTTTTTAGTCAATAACTATGCAACCAAACGTGATAAAATAACAATTCTTTCAGGATTATGTTCAAAATTAAATTCTGCATCTAATTCTAATAAGATTTTATGTTATAAACAAGTTTTTATAAAGTTATAAACAATTTTCTTGTATTTTACGCATTTTAACCTCAAATGAGAGTTTTTATAAATAATTATGCAACCAAGCGTGATACAATAACAATTCTTGCAGAATTACATGCAGAATTAAATTCTACATCTAATTTTAATAAGATTTTATCATAAAAACAAGTTTTTATAAAGTTATAAACAATTTTCTTGCATTTTTTGAACTAAAATGTCTGATTTTTGCTTTTTAGGACATAAGACAGGTTCTAAGACTGTCAAAAGTCACAGAGATGCTTCCGATGCTCGTGCATCACCGAACAATTGGCAATTGGTCATTCGGGCAGTGCTTAAACTGCAGCCAACACACGCATGCCATTATGACAGGAGCAAAAGGTGCCACACTTGTTTTGGTCAATTCTGCTTTACTAGTAAGTATAATCCTACTCAAACCTTAATTAAACAATAAATAAAATACTAATTAATATATATTTTTAGACTAATCCTGAAATAGAAGCTCTAAAGAAACATATTTCTTATTCAAAAGTTTACAAAGTGATGGTTTATGAGACTACTGAGGCTGAACGACGCTATGACTGTAAATTTACTCACTTTTTTAAATAATTTTTTTAATTAATACTAAATTTATTCATAGATCTTCCAGCCGAGGTGGAAAAAACCCTCCGAGTGCTGAAACAAAAGGCCGATGACAGCATCCACGTGGAAACCATCAACTCCGAGGAGCGGATACGTTTCTACAGTGATCAACAAGCGCAATTACTTGAGGATTTCAAGGATAAAGCGCGAGCTGATCACAAAACACTCATGCGCGTGTTTCTGAAACATCAGCCTATGCAAACATCGGTGCAATTACAGCCATCGCACAGCACCGGCGCTGTGCCGCGCCGCAGTCTCAACGACGCCAACAAACTCGATGAGCATGTCAAGGCGTCGTCGCTACGCAAAGTACCTGACGATTTTGATCGGATTAAGACACCGTCGCCGCAACACAAAGTGCTCACTGTAAGTTAACATCATGTATAACCTAAGATTGTTATTTAGTGTATTGTGGGTTGCATAGATACAAGATGATGCGCCATCCATGCGCAAACAACCGCTGCAAAAGAAAAACTCATTGGACACTGAGTGTCTGTTTGATATTGAGGGAATGGATGATGATGAGGATTCACTGGTGGCGGATACTTCCGATGGGGAGGATAATGGTATCCCTATCAAACAGAACCGCCATGCGCGTAGACAAAGCGAACAGGATTACAGCATTGCCAAATCTCTGCCGATGAATATTCCTGTTTATATTTCAGCGTTACGGCCACATCTTAACGACGATTCGGATGAAGATGTAATTGTTTTATTAATTTTTGTGGTATAATTGTTTTAATTGAAAATTTCACAGGTGCAATCAGAAAAATCAAAAGACATTGCAGCAAGCATTCAGGCGCTGGCAAGGAGTGTAAATGGCGACACTGTGTTCGGTGATTTGCCTCGTCCACGCTGCAGGACGAATATCATGTAGCTAGACGCCTGCCTCGACGCGGACGACCCCTACTCCGACGACGCGGCGTGAACTAAAAACCTAACCTCACAACCACCACATCAATACCACAACCGCCACAAACCATGATCATGGATTGAATTTTTATCGATGTCTAATTGAAGATCATCTTATTCGAGCTTCCAGGAATTCATCGTAGCGCAACGACACTTTTTACTAATAGAATTTATACAGTTTTCTTTGGACTCGCGTTATTTCTTGCGTTTTTTTTCTTCTTTGTTTTTTGTTACTTTTTTTGTCTGCTTCTAAACTAGAAACGTGGCGCGCACATGATGGTGATTAATGATGATAATGATTGATTAATTAAGTGTGGAGGGATGCGACAAGAGACATATTAGTTGTACGTTACAATTAAACAAAGATATATTCTTGTTTTTATACGTTCTAAGAAATATCTAATATCTACGATTCTCAATAATAAAAAAAGTGAAAGAAACATTGCGTAAAAACACTCAAAACACATTTGTAAATGTATAATAAGTATTTTATAAGATGCGGTATTTAATTAGCTATCATTTTTGCAACGCACGGTGGAAACTTTGATTTTGTTTAAAAGTTATCAAAAAATTTTTAAAATGTTGAAAGTAGAACACTAGCGCCACCAGTGAGAAAATTTAAAACTAATATGGCAGTCATTGAAGGTCGCAGAACCAAAATAATGCAAAAACAGTTAAAAATTTCATTGGTAACGTGTAACAACTAATTCATTATGTGCGCAATTTAATTAGCTATCATTTAATATAACGCATAGTGAAAAATTTTACTTCTTTTAAAAGATATCAACAAAATTTTAAAATAATTTCAAGTTAAACACTAGCGCCACCAGTGACAAAACACAAAACTAATCTGACACACCGAAGGTCGCAGAAACCAAATTTGTTTACGCTACGCATCGCGGCCAGCGATTAAACACGAATTAATCGAGCGTTGAGTTTCGGTGGGCGTAAAAATTTAATCACTAGTGGTATATCGCATTAACTATACAAGTTACACACAGTGGAACGTCTAGTAAATTGCAGTGGTGGCAGTTTCACCACACGCTCGATGTTGCTTTGTGCGCCGCTAAAGCTAAACGTCATCAATCCGAAGCGCGTTGAATACAAGCATAAAAACAGCGGTGTTATTCCTACCGCTAATGAATTAAACCGTGAATTGTCTAGTCAGTAAGAACCTAGACAAAATCTTATTCACAACCGGTGCTCCAATAGAGATTTTCATTCAAAAGACTTAATTTCTTTCTTATCAGTGAGAAAAATTATCATTTATCATGTTAACAACCGACGATATACCGAATTTCAACGATTATAGTTTTAATCAGTCGCCGGATTCAGGTTTATCGTTCACTTCAGGTGAGGTTAACCTCCATTACACTATTCATTTGTTTTTTTGTTTGTTTGCTGGAGAAATTCAGTTGTTTTCCGGCAGCCATTTTGTTTTTTACTTAAAAATTTTAAAACTCATGTTTTTTTCTTGTAGAATATCCAGAATTAGGCTCAGAAGATGATTTCCTGGCCCAGCTCTCTTCAGACTTAGACATTCCATACCTTTTGAACCCAACCACAGAGAATGGCATCTATAATTCATACCTCGACCGCTCTACAGACGAGATTCTCAGCGAAATCACATCACCAAGCCCACGCAGTGATAACCAAGACTCCGAGGATGTCCTTGATACACTACTTAAAGAAATCAAATGTGAGCCATTGTACAATTCATCATCACCCACACCTTCACATTCCAGCCATTCAGGTTCTGAAGACATTAAAATGGATTTTAAAGAAGAACTGGAGACGCCGCCGATCTCACCGGTATCACAAACCAATTCCAGTGTGTCTAGCAATAATCCCCCAAGCAAACCTCTACAAATTAGATTCGTGCATAGGAATAATATGCATGCAAACACGCCGTACATAAAAGTAAATCAAAAGAATTTAAAAAATATTAATTTAAACGCGGTAAATGCGAATACAAATACAAAAAAACCAAATGTTGTGGTTTTGGAACACTTGAGAGCTATGCCAGTGGCAAATGTGCCGATTCCGAAGCTACCCTTGCCTACACTGACGACAAAAGCGAATATTTCTAATATTAATAGTATTAACGGTATAAGTATTCCTATTATTTCGTCACAATCGGTGCCACAGATTTCTAATTTGAATGGAATTGATGCTAAAGCTTTGAAACGTCAACAGAGAATGATAAAAATAGAGAATCGGCGAATTTATCACGAAAAAAGAAGAAGGAGCATCTAATGCAGCTTGAACAACAAGTTGCTGAGCTTACAGAAGAGAATGAAAAGCTTAAAAAGGTAAATTTTGTTTTAAAATGTAAAAAAACATAAAAATTTGATTGATTTTTGTTGAATTTCTTTAGGAAAATGCAGAATTAAGAGAAAGATTGTCTTCTTTCGCTGGAAAACGTATGATAAATGGCGTCCAAGGGAAAAACGCGACGAAAGGCATCATTATCTTCATATTTTTATTCACTGTCGGTTTCAACATGGATTATTTCAGGTAAATATCATTTAAAAACAAGCAATTATGCCGTCCACTTTGTACATTTGTACAACGCGTTGCGAGTCATTTGTATATCTAATCTTATCGCTTTTTGATTGCACTGCAATGCAAATCATGTACAATATTTAAAATAATTTTATGTTTGTTTTAAATTTAGAACAACATTACCTTCGGATCGTTACTTGGCTAACAATATAAAAGAACCACCGATTGGACATCACAACGGCCGCCATTTGTTATGGGAGGAGCCTGTGTCAACCGAAAACAAAACATTGCAGTCGTACACGCGGAATTTGACGATTGTAAATGTAAATACAACGAATAATTCGTTTGTGAGTGAGAATAAAAGCACGACGCCATTGCTCATGTGCCCAACGCCCCCTACAATAGGTACACCTTATTTTAACCAGACGGAAAGTGTTCGTCTGGCGGCTGAGTTACATCGATGGATAGGCAAACCATACAACACTACAATCGAAGAATATTTCACTGCGCCTGCGCCGAAAAAGACTAAGAAGGTGAAAACTAAATCAAAACTACGGAAATTACAAGTAAAAGAACAAAAACAAGCTGAGTTAAGTCTCTATAACCTCAAAAGAAAACAACCGGAAGATTTTTCGACTTCTGGTAGTGTGAATGAATTGCAATTATTCGAACCGACAGAATTTGCGGAGTTTTTCGCTGCGATTAATCGTAAAGATGACACATTTTACGTTGTGTCCTTTAGTCCAGACCATTTACTCTTACCGGCTTTAAATCACAACAAAACACGCCGCCCGAAAATGTCGTTAATATTCCCAGCTGTTTTAGCTAATGGTAAGTAAAATTAAATTTAGGTTAAAATAGCAGATATTAACCGACGCCATTTTGTTTTTGTTTCTGCTTAGATACAACCTCACCGCAATCACAAGTCTCGCTCATGCAGATCGACTGCGAAGTGCTGGACACTCGCATGATTAACATCCGCTCGGGTGCGATACCGTTACACTTACGTAATCACACCGTGCATGAAACAAGCAACACGCGCGATAACAACGTGAGCGATAGTTCTACGAACGCGCAGGCGAGACACTTCGAAGAGGGCAGTTATCGGCCGTATTTTATGAAGAAGACGAAGAATACGAAGGATAATCAATACCACGTCACGCATACAGGGGGTTAAAACACAAATTACACATAGAAATTAATTACGTACGTGAATTTTGTACAAATTAGAGAATAAGCTGCGAAATTTTGCACTTTACATTAATATTTTGATAATGTGATATCAAATGTCATCACTGTTTATTATTCTCTAATCAATTGACATAATTTTTATCATGGCGACCTTAAAAAGTTTAAACAAAAATCGTAAAATTAATTTTTATATTTGAACACTCTGTATAATGATTCATTTTGATAATGTGATAATTAATATCGTCACGGTTGTTTACTTATTAATCATTAATCGATGAATTAAGGTGAATACAAGGTCGAGCTACAGAAAAACCTTGATAAAATTAACAAAAACAATGAATATTCATTTGTTTTTCTCGCTAAACTTAGACTTAACCTGATAAACTTAAAATTTAATGTTGCGTTTGCGTAGTAGTCACTGTGATACAATAAAATTGCTTAAAATGTTTACGTTAGACTAGATTTAGATTTAAGTGTACTTAAGACTAAAGTGAGGTTATGTTATGTTAGTTTATTTTAAGTCCGGCGTGCTTGCGCCCAGATAACACTTGAGATCCGCCATTGTGGATTGAATGAGCTTGGCGCGTATGGTGGACCTCTGAAGACGTCGATGCGCTTCATACCGATGACAACCGCCGAATGAATAATAATAATTGCCGCCTTCACGTCCCTCGATCCACAAGATGTCTATTGGCGGCACCAGATCAGCCGTATCGTAGCCTTCGATGGTTTTCATCAATGATTGCACTTTGTTTTCGTCCACTTCCGCCATGAAGGGACGAATGATGACCGCCATTGGCACATCGTGTACTTCATCCGTGCCTGCTGAGTGTATGCTTGCCATTCTTACTACAATATGGAATGAAATGAGATGTAAGTGTTTATTGTTTTGTTGTTTTGGTAGAGATAATTGCTTATCTGCTTATCTTTCAGTGATAATTACTCGTGTAGGTTAGAAAATCAATCAAATTACCCTTGCCGACCGCCGTTTTGGTGTAGCGTTTTGTGCGCAGCATCCAAATTGTTGTTTTGGGTTGGAATATGTGAGAATAGTTGTGTGTGGCTCGATGGGAATGTTGTCGGTAGCGGCTCGCGAAACTTAATGAATGTCGTTGAGCGGTTGCAGCTTTACAGCGTGTTTTCGAAAGCCTTGAACTCGTTTAGCGCGCTGCAACTCAGCGCAGGTTAATATTCGATAATATTAAAGTGATCGAAGTTACGGACAATATTGATAGGTGTTTGTTTGTTTAGGCGTGCGTGACGAGTTATAAAGGGGTGGTGATGATGAGAAAGGGGGCGGTGGTTGGGTTATTATTAAGCAATTTGTTTGTAATTAACAAAATATCGGAGGGTTTTGGGAATTTTTGTGTGGAATTTTGAATGGAACTTTCCAAAATTACAAAAAGGTGCATAAAATTGTGTTTATCGGTTGTAAACTGTTATGATCAGTCTTGGGACGTTGTAAAATTTACAGTTTTATTCATTTTGTCTTTCCTGGAGAGGTAGTGGTCGTAAAAGTACCGTTTTTTGATTGTACTGAAGGTATTTTACTCCCAATTAGATAATTTACCTTTTTACATGTTTCTGGAGGTAATTATTAGATAATATGCATGTTTTTTGGTTAAAAATAACCTTTAAAAGGGTTTCCTGTGAATGAGCAATGAGAAACCCGCAAAAAGTGGTGGGGAAGATGCGGTGCGTTATTGACATGACAAGTAGGAGTAGTAGGCAACCCAAAATACACTTATTTGGATAAAATCGGAACCCAAACTCAGATAATTGAATCTTTTTGTTTAAATTCATCGCGTGTAGTTAAACACTGGTTCCTCGATGTGTTAATATAGTAACAAATGAGTCAGACGTAAATCTTCTTAAAACTGGCTTAACCTGATGCGCTAATTCTATTGAAAATCGTATTTTCATTCAAGGACTTATTTTACGTCATAAAACTATTAAAACTTTAGTAAAAATCAAGGTTTTCCTATATTTGTTTATATTTATACCTATAAATTATCTCTCCTCTTGAACTTGAAAACTTGTCCGTTATTAATGATTATCACTCGATTTAAAATTCAAATTTGCCAAAAGTAAAGTTCATCAACTTCTTAAACCCAAAACACAAACCTCGATTTCAAGAGTTCACGATACAAGTCGAGGTGCAAATTTTAGCGTCCGCGCAAAAAATTCCATCGATACAGAAACGGTTGTGTATTATCCGCCTGTGTGCACCTAATTTATCGAATAAATACACTTCGGCAACATGTTGTCTTAAATTATTATGTACAACATCCACTATCCACTTTTCGGATACTTGCTATTGTCAAGTGCGGTGGACGTGATTGAAATGCGAAATGTGGAAGGATCAACAAATGACAAGCACTTGTAAATGTTATTGTATTGTTAGTGTCATTATTAGTGAAAAGAAACGTCCTTTTCTGGTCGGACGCGCGTCGATTGCATACAAATACGTATAGCATGGAATAATCGATCGATAATTCTGTCAATATAAACATGCTAACGAAATCGTAACTGTTTTATAAAAGTAAAGAAAATATAGTATAGTTGTTTTATAAACATTAATAATTATTGATATAAACTTATTGTTTATAAAATATGTTTATAATTAAACGCAGAATTTATTTCTGAATATATTTATGAAAGATTTGTCAAGTTATCATGTTTAGTTCTTGAGATATTAAGGAAAAACCAAGAAAAATCATGAATTTTTGCTTTTATTTGGTAATTAATCCAATAATTAATTGCACCAACTAATTACCAATAAAATATTTATGAATTTAAATGCAGAATTTAATTCTGAATGTAATTTCGTAAAATTTATCATAATATCTTCATTAGTTTTCGAGATATTACCAAAAAACTAACAAAAGTTCAAAGAAATTTAAAGATTTTGATTATTTTTGCTATTATTAGGTAATTAATCAAATAATTAATTATACAAACTTATTCAACATAAAATATTTATGTATCTAAACACAGAATTTAATTCTGGAAATATTTCTAAAAAAAATATTATTATATCATGATTGGTTCCCAAGATATTAACAAAAAACGAACAAAAACTATTTTGTAGTCCTATGTTGGACTTGCGATATACACACCGAACATAGGACGACCAATGTAATTTTAGTTCCATTTGTATTTCGCTTATCTTTTCAATGCGTTTTCATCTTCCAACTCAAATTAAACCATAAAATTATTCATTTTCTACACAAAAAATACAAAATTTGCTATTATACAGGGTATAACATTAAATCTACATAAAATTTAATAAGATTTTAACATAAAACCATCATTTTATCGATTGTGAAGTAAGATACAGTTTAAAATAGACATTTCTTGTGTATTTTGTGTTTTGCTTTGTGTGTTTGTCGAAGCAACAAGTTTAGGCCGTGCAAGATTATCAACGTGTCTCGATTGTGGATCGCGCGGCGTGGTGAGAAGGAAGGGGTCGCGGTTACCATCGAGATAAATGCGTCGCCCCGTCGGCGGTGGCGATCAGTCGAGCTCTGGTTTGCGTCTCGTCGGTGTCAACGCGCGACTCGAATCATTCACGGCACACAGTGGGATACAACACAACAAAACAGTAAGAAAACAAACTCTAAAATAAAAACAACAAAAATAATCGTTTCACTAAAATTTACACGTTTCCACATTGTCTCGAAAATATAAACGGTTTATCTTTACATTATTCATTTGATTGATGTTTTCATCATTACGAGAATTAATTATGGTCATTGTACATGTCATGTTCATGTTTCACGGTTGAGTGTCTGACCACCTGACACCTGCGTGATAATAATAACAATTTGGTAAACACAATACAGAGACTATTGCGAATTTATGTGGTTTGATGATTATTTGTGCCAATGCTGAATGTGAAGTTGATGTGAATACAAATAGTATACATTGTGTTTTAGATGATTGTTATTATCTGTAATATTAACAAATTGCAATTAATTTAACGGCGGGATTTTAACACGCAAAATATTTGTGTGTTCGTCATCGTGTTTGGTAAATGTTGTAAATTGTTTTGTTTGGTTTTTCGTGCTGAAATATTCTCAAAGGAATAATTGTTCATTTACGAGATAACATAAAAATTAAAAATAATATTTTTATGTTTTTTCGTGTTTTAAATTGTATTGAATTGATTATGTCGTGATTTTGTGATAGTTTTTTGTTGATAACTCGGGAAATAATTATGATATAATGATAATTTTTGAGGAAATATATTTAGTAATAAATTTTATGTTTAAATAGATAAATATTTTATAGGTAATAAATTTGTATGATAAATTATTTGATTGTTAATCGAATAATATCAAAAACATTAAAAATTTGGAAATTTTCTTGGTTTTTGTTAGTTTTTTGTTAATATTTCGGGAACTAATTATGATTTAATTATAATTTTTTCGGAAATAGATTAAGAATTAAATTCTGCATTTATCTATATAAATATTTAATGTCTACTAAGTTTCTATAACTAATTATTTGATTGATTACCGAATAATTGCAAAAACATTAAAAATTTAAGAATTTTTCTTGGTTTTTGTTAGTTTTTTGTTAATATCTCGGGAAATAATCATGATATAATGATAATCTTTTCTGAAATAGATTAAGAAATAAATTCTGAATTTATCTACATAAATATTTAATGGTTACTAAGTTTTTATATCTAATTATTTCATTGATTATCGAATAATATCAAAATCATTAAAAATTTAAGAATTTTTCTTGATTTTTGTTAGTTTTTTGTTAATATCTCGGGAAATAATCATGATATAATGATAATCTTTTCGGAAATAGATTAAGAATTAAATTCTGCATTTATCTACATAAATAATTAATGTCTACTCTACTAAGTTTTTACAACTAATTATTTAATTGATTACCGAATAATAACAAAAACATTAAAAATTTAGGAAATATTTTTGGTTTTTGTTAGTTTTTTGTTAATATTTCGGGAACTAATTATGATATAATCATATTTTATGTTTTTTAAACTTGTATAATTAATCATTTGATTGGTTACCTAATAGGGACTAAAAAATTAAAATTCAATCAATCTTCTTGATTTTTGTTAGTTTTTTGTTAATATCTCGGGAAATAATCATGATTTAATGATAATTTTTAAGGAAATCGATTCAGAATTAAATTCTACGTTTAAGTACACAAATATTTGAAGGGTAACAGGTTTCTATAATTAATTATTTGATTGATTGGTTAATAACACCAAGAACAATCAAAATTTAATATATTTTCTTGGTTTTTGTTACTTTTTTGTTAATATCTCGAAAACTAATCATGATATTGTAATTATTTTTTTAGAAACATATACAGAATTAAATTCTGCGTTTATCTACATAAATATTTTAATTATATCATCATTATTTAATTAATTATTTAATTAAATTCTAATTAATACCAAAAGAACGAAAAATTTCTTATTTTTGATAAATTCAAGATATCTTCCAATCAAGTTCTACAACAATTTAAATCTTGCATTTCCATTTCGCGTATCCGATCAAACACCTATTGGGCAACACATAAAATCAGCTCGTGATATTAGAAAGCGCGCAAAACCAGATCGCTCAGAGCCCATTCAACCCATTACACATTATACACAACACAACACAACACAAGTTTAAAACGTGTTGCATGCTGAAAAATTACCAATCTAAATGTTGTACATTATGAACATGCTGTATGTGTTGTGTTTAATATGATCCTATCTGATCATCAATCAATTTGTTGCCGCAGCCGCCCTTTCAAATCAACTACTCACACGCGCGCGCTAATCGATCACGAAACAATTGAATGTCGGAACCAGTCGCAACCAGCACGACACGCGGTTCAATGGTCGGCAAACACAACCATAACATGGTCAAACAAAGCAACAAACACAAGATAAACCAATTACCATAATGTACTCTCGGTTCTTGTTCGAGTTATGATGGATTATGACATCGCATACACAATTTCATATCAAGGTGTGTCCGTTTTGTTGGTTTACCGTTTGAGATATTTACCCATGTTGTGTTTTTGCAAAATGTTTGCGTAATATTTACAATTTGCGACTGTAATTTTTGTAGAACTTGATTAAAAGTATCAGAAATTCTTAAAAATGAGAAATATTAATTAATTTTACTTTTATTGAGTAATTAGTCGAATAATTGATTAAATAATGACTTTTAAAGTAATATATTTATGTAGATAAACGCAGAATTTAATTCTGAATATGGTTTTGAAAGATTTACCATTGTATCTTTATTAGTTTTCGAGGTATCAACAAAAACTAACAAAAGTCAAGAAAATTTATTAAAATTTAACTTGCTTTTGCTATTATTAGGTAATTAGTCAAATAATTAATCATGCGAATTTATTACAAATTAAATCTTTATGTATTTAAATGTAGAATTTAATTCTGGATATATTTTTGAAAGAATTATTATTATATCTTGATTAGTTTTCAAGATATTAACAAAAAACTAACCAAAATCACGAAAAAATCAATTTAAAACAAAAAAATATTTAGTTTTTTGTATTGTCAATCTAGTATAATGACATAACACATGTCAACCATTTTTATTTTTCTATTTTTACTTGTTTTGTTTACAGAAAATGCGTTTTCTACACGCGGGGACCATTTTCCTCCTCGCCGCCATTTTGGGCACCCATGCATACCGCCTGCCGAGTAACATTGTTCCGCAACACTACACACTTAAGATTTTAACTAATTTAGGAGATGAAAATGGTACTTTTGATTTTTGTGGAAATGTCACCATCCAGGTAATAAAATTTTTCCAAAAATTACATTCTAACCAAAAAATTAACAAAAAATATACAAAAACATCAAATTTTTAGGCAACAGTCGTGGAATCAACCAAAAACATAACTCTGCACTCTAAAAACCTTGACATAGACCCCAAAAAGATCCAAATCAACGACGAAAAAGACATCGTAGATACCACACACGTCGACGAAGAGAACGAATTCTTCACCATCGTGCTAAAAACCCCTCTGGAACAAAATAAACCATTAAAAATCTTCATAGCATTCAAGGGTAAACTAGAAGATGGTTTAGCTGGTTACTACTTAAGTTCTTACATTGATAACGAGAGTAAGGAACGCAGATATCTCTCAATAACACAATTTGAGTCCACGGACGCACGCAGAGCTTTCCCTTGTTTCGACGAACCGGAAATGAAAGCCAAGTTTACCATTTCCCTAGGCCACAATGATAAATACACAGCGTTGAGTAACATGAACGAAATAAAGAAAGAACCAATGTAAGACACATCAATATTACTTTTTTTAAAACTAAAATCGGCCATTTTATTATTGTTTTTATTTTTAGTGAGGGGAAACCCGGATGGTCCATGACGCACTTCGATGAAACCGTCCCAATGTCCACATATTTAGTAGCATTCATGGTATCGGATTTCGGTTTTGAAACAACTGACATGACCCATAGCAATGTCACCTTCAGAATCTGGGCCCGGAAAGACGCATTGAAACAAATCCACTTGGCAGCTGAAGTAGGACCCAAAGCCTTGTCATACTTCGAAAACTTCTTTGACATAGCCTATCCTCTACCTAAACAAGACATGGTCGCCATTCCGGATTTCAACGCAGGCGCAATGGAGAACTGGGGATTAATCACCTATCGTGAAACAGCCCTGCTCTACGACCCGGAAGTCTCCTCCGCATCAAGTCAACAATCAATCTCTAACACCATCGCTCATGAACTAGCACATCAATGGTTTGGTAACCTGGTAACCATGAAATGGTGGACAGATTTATGGTTGAATGAAGGTTTTGCTACCTACATGGCCGCCCAGGCCGTAGATCATCTCCATCCGGAATGGAACTATCTCAATGAGGAAGCTGTGAATAACCTCTTGACAGTATTTACTTTCGATTCGTTAAAATCATCACATCAGATATCTGTACCTGTGGGACATCCAAGAGAAATCGCTGAAATATTTGATACTATTTCATACCGGAAAGGAAGTTATATCCTGCGTATGATGTCGTTGTTTTGGGTAAACAAACCCTTAGAACAGGTGTTAGTAAGTACCTCATGAAGCATAGATATCAGAATGCTGAACAGGATGACCTCTGGGCCAGTCTCACTGAAGTCGCACATAAAAACAATGTACTTCCGGCTAATTTGACAGTTAAAACAATCATGGATACCTGGACACTCCAAACAGGTTATCCTGTCATTTCTGTTAATAGAAACTATGAAACACAGAAAGCGGAAGTGAGTCAACGAAGATTCCTCAGGGATCTTATACTGATGAAAACCGTGAATGATTTTTGGTGGGTCCCATTGACTTATACAACTTCCAGTGAGTTGCAATTCAATGATACAACCCCTAAACATTTCCTGCCGAATAATGCAGATGCTTTGACAATTGATGCACCTAAACCCGAAGACTTTTTATTGTTTAATATTAAAATAGCAGGGTTGTATAGAGTTAACTATGATGAAAAGAACTGGAAACTCTTGAGTGATTATCTACAGTCAGATAAATTCAAACACATTCCTGTTGTGAATAGGATTCAGCTGTTGGAGGATTCTTCAGCGTTGGCATGGACAGCTGATTTGAGTTATGATGTCTTCTTTGGGATTTTGGATTATTTACATAAGGAAGATGGGTATTTACCGTGGAAAGCAGCGTTGAGTAGTTTGAGTGACCTGCAGAAACAACTGAAACGCACGAGTGATTATGGTTTGTTTAAGAAATATATGCGACAGGTGATTGAGCCTGCATACAAGAAGTTTGGAAGGATTAGTGAACCTTTAACTGATGAAAAAACACCCAAAGGATTGCAGAAGATTAAGTTACAAGCTCTGGTTGCAAGTAGTGCTTGTACTTTCAAGGTTGAGGAGTGTGTGGAGGATTCAAAGAAGATGTTTGCTGAATATATGAAGGATCCTGTTAAAAATAGGTAAATTTTTGATTTGTTTTGATTTTTAATTGTGTTTTAATGTTAAAATGTGTTTTACTTTTAGTTTGCCTAAGAATCTACGTTCTATTATCACTTGCAATGCTATTCGTTTTGGTGGTGAAGAAGAATGGGAGTTCATGTGGAAAGAATACTTGGCTTCCAATGTTGCAACTGTGAAAGACGCCATTTTGAGTAATCTAGGATGTACTACGGAGCCATGGTTATTGCGGAGATATTTGGAACGCGCAATGCAAGATGACAGCGGTATTCGCAAACAGGACTTTGTGTCTGTTTTCCGGTCTGTAGCAAGAAACCAATATGGTTTCCACATTGCCAAGGATTTCTTGGAGGAGGAGATTGTAAACATTGCTAAACGGTATGTTAAATTATAGAATAACATAATTACAACACAGTTGTATGCAACTTTAATTGCTTTTAGATTGTATCCCAATGCACGAAGGTTGACAAGGTGTATTCAACCTCTTGCTGAAAGAATGATTTCTCAGAGTGAATATGATTGGGTAAGTAAATTATTTTAAAGTTTCATTTGAATTTCTTGAATATTTTCAATGTGTTTTCACATCTCAAAATATATTCCAAATTTTGATGAATTCCTTATATTTTACTCTTTATCTTCAAAATAATTAATTTAAAATGATTTTAGCATTATTATTTTGCCAATTAACAATTTTAGTAATTTTTTACGTCTTTCGTGTTATTTTAACACCAAAAAACACAAAACTAGGCTTAAATTTCCTAGTACAATGTTGGACTTGTAGTATACACACCGAACATAGGACGGACAATGTAATTTTAGTTTAATTTGAATTTCTTGAATATTTTCAATGTGTTTTCATTTTTCAACTCAAATTAAACTTAAAAATGATGTTTTCTTCATTTTCTTCTCAAAACATATTCAAAATTTTGATGAATTCCTAATATTTTACTCTTTATCTTCAAAATAATTAATTTAAAATGATTTTAGCAGTATTACTTTGCCAATTAATAATTTTAGTAGTTTTTTTACGTCTTTCGTGTTATTTTAACACCAAAAAACACAAAACTAAGCTTACATTTCATAGTACAATGTTAGACTTGCAGTATACACACCGAACATAGGACGGACAATGTAATTTTAGTTTAATTTGAATTTCTTGAATATTTTCAATGTGTTTTCATTTTTCAACTCAAATTAAACTTAAAAATGATGTTTTCTTCATTTTCTTCTCAAAACATGTTAAAAATTTTGATGAATTCCTAATATTTAACTCTTTATCTTCAAAATAATTAATTTAAAATGATTTTAGCATTATTATTTTGCTAATTAACAATTTTGGTAGTATTTTACGTTTTTCGTGTTATTTTAACACCAAAAAACACAAAACTATGCTTAACTTTCCTAGTACAATGTTGGACTTGCAGTATACACACCGAACATAGCCCTGCCAATGTAATTTTAAGTTTTATATCAATTTAAACCCAAAAACTTCATTTTTTCCTCATTTTTCTCAAAAAATCTTCAAAAATCAATAATTTATTCTATTTTCTTTTGCAGCTCGACAGATTAACGAAAACCAACGCCGACGCATTCAAAGACTCTCAACAAGGCGTCATCCAAGCCCTCGAAACCGTCCGCCTCAACCTCCAATGGCAGAAAACTCACCACCCGGAGATCAAAACCCTGATTTCCAAACACATCAAATCTTAAACCCTTTTACACACCAGGTAACGACAGGTAAACACACCACGTCAATACACATTTTACTACCCACCACATTTTTTTTTTAACAAAACAGTTGTTTAATTTATTTTCACTTTACAAGAGTTGCATTCGCGCTTACGAGTTATAAACAATGACAAACTTAATATATATAAATATATATCTAAATGTAATAAATCTATATCGAAGAGTGAGAAAATACTGGAATGAGTAGGCGCACATGTTACATATCGCTTTAAGTAAAATATCATTAATTATTTATATAATAATCTCATCGGCAAACACGGATAAATAATTTGTACAAGTTTCGTGTGTTGTCTGAATGCATCAATCACTTACACAACTATCAACTTAAACTAAGACCTTCTCGTAGAAGAGCAGATACGGCGTGTTGGTGTTCTCCGTCTTGTAGGCCAACTCACTCTGCAGCTCATCCACGCTGATCGGGCGAACCTTTTCATCATTACACTCCAACCAGACTTCATCCGCGTTCAATTCAAGCGCGGACAGATTCAAATTCAGTTTAATACTGCAGCAATTACGCGACGTGCAGAGATCATTGTTATTCGTCGCCTTATCCCGGTTTTTCATCGCCGCGAAAAAATACAAAGTCTTTTCCTTGTCGTTTTTCGCCCGGCCGCTTGCACAGCGTGCATAATCCGCATGTCGCTCACTCGCAGCGACATAGGACTTATAATGCCCTGACTGCATTGTTGCGCCCACATGCATAACAACCCCAGCGAGTTTATACGCATGTAGCGGTTCACGCATGCAAGTCTCACAGAAACAATCTAATCTCAACGGGGTAGGCATGTAAGTGTTAACCTTATCAAACCCTTCACCCGTATGCATGAACCTCTTCTGTTGCAGGATCATGATCTTCGGCAGGCGTTCAAACGCAACGGAACGCACTGCTTCATTCAAATGCCTGCAATCATTACAATAAAATTTGTTCGCGCCTCGAAGCGTTTCCGGTGCAAGACACGCCTCGCGATATAGCTCACTAGGATTCCGCTTGCGGTCCAGCGGGGTGAGTTCCCGAATGGGTACGGGTATCTCGAAGAATTGTTCTTTGCGTTGCGTGACATTCTCGCACTCGAGGCACTTGGTGCTGCGTACGGTCTGACCTCGGAAGTCTTCGACTAGAAAATTCCGCTGGCGTGTTCGCTTTGTTTTGTAGTTTGTAGATGTGGATGAAGTTGAAGTATCGTCAGGTTCTGGATCACTGTCTGATTCAGTAATGGCGTCCGTGTTCGGCTGGTGGTCGACATTCATCGGCTCGTCTTTATCTTTGTTGTCTTTTTGTGTTTGTGCGAGTTTTTTGGTTTTGTTCGTCAGTCGCGCCCATAACTTCGTGTTTCCGGAGTTTGTACTGTTGGTAGCCGTGGTGGAGGTGTCGTAAAGTGTTGGATACTTAGCGGTTTGTTCCTCGACGTATGTACAGGTGTCGCGGATGTTGTCGAAGAGGTATAGGAGGAGTTCATGGGCGTCTTGTTGCTCATCGCTGCAGAATATTGAATTCGTTTCGCGGAGAGCTTGGAGGAATGGATAGGGAAGATAGGAGTCGTATGCGGCGCGTTTGGAGCCGTGTTCCATGTTGTGGAGCGTTACGAATACTTCGTGGAGTTTTTCGGTGAGGATGAGGACTTTATTACGTGGTGCATCGTTGATGCCGACGGTGAGTAGGTCTTTTGTACTGCTGCTACGGCTGCTGTTGGCTCCATACGTGGTGACTGCGTTTCTTCCCAGTGAGGATGACTTTGCTTTCGTGTCTTTTAGCTCCTTGAGGTCGTGCGCATACGCGAATTTCGCCGATTCGTCGGTGACGTGGTGTAGATTATGAAGGAAGCGCGATGTAAAGCGCAGAATGTATAGGATGCTGTTTAGATAGCAGATGTTACCGTTGTTTTTCAATGAGGCGATGGGTCGACCGGCGTCGGTGGCGAGGAGGCTTTCCTTGGTGAGAATACGTGTGCCGCGCTTCTCGGGCGCGTCCATCGTGAGCGTCGCGCCCCGCTGCCGCTTGGTGGAGCGTTTGCGGATGCCCAGGCTGACGGCGTCGTAGGTCATGCTACCATTTGGGCGGCGGCGTGGTGGTTGCTCGTGGGACCTGGTGGATAGACGAGGTGAATTTCTAGTTGTGAGTTGGGTATTATACTGTGGAATGCTTACCTGTGCACCTGGTGGTGATGATTACGGTTACATTCCGGATGCAGTTGATTGGTAGTTGGGTGCCTGATTAGATAATCGGTGGCGATCGCGTCTCGGGCGTGAATTATGAACGCACGTGTCTTGAGATATCGGTTGGGAATCGGCCATCACCTGTTTGCAAAATGAAATTATCACAGCGGCACCCTAGCGCCGCCCTAGCCTCCAAACGGCGACGTTTGAAACTGCCGATGTTAGTTGTGACAGGGACGTACTTAGACTATTAAATTATGTAATATGTTTAAAATGGTTACAATTTTTGTTATTCCAGCTTCTAAAAGAATTAAAATATTAGAAATTTAAGGTTTTATTGTTTTATTTTATTTATTTTTTAATTTCTTTAATGAAAACAGTGATAATTGTATTTTATTTTGTTGCGTTTGTTACCAGTTAAGGATGCTATGAAAACCAAGAGAAATCAATAGAGGATCATCAGGAAGAAGAAATTTTTAAATTCTGTTTGCGGATTACGATAGATTATTTAATTTTACATCGATTATTTAAGTAACTTTTTTTGCTAACGTTAACCGTTTAGGCCCTATTGGCAATTTTAATGAAACATGTGCATGCCGCCTGACCTGACTACATTATTGTGCATAGTACAAAATTCTCATTAAAATTGCAAATAGGGCCTAAACGGTCACTGTTAGAAAAAAAATTTACTTAAATAATCGACGTAAAATTAAATGATCTATCAGGATCCAAAAACAGAATTTAAAAATTCCAACTTTTAGTTTTTATCATAAAAAAAGAAATCTTTTGCATTTTTTATAACAAAACCTTTTCTTTAAAATTTTTTTGTGTTATTTTTAACCTTTTTCAATAATGATGCCATCTTGTAGAAAATATTTCAAGGAACAAGAATATGAAATTCCCTTTTTTCTAGCTCTATTAGTTCTTTAGATAATTACAATTTAATCTTCAAAAATTAGACTATTCCGTCGGCATGCACATGTTTCTTAAAACTTATAAATAGGGCCTAAACGGTTAACGTTAGCAAAAAAAGTTACTTAAATAATCGATGTAGAATTAAATTATGTATCAGAAACTGAAAGCAGAATTTAAAAATTCCAATTTTTCATAATGTACTGCATACAAAGGTGGAAATTAATTATTGATTATAATAGTCTAAATTGTAGGACTAGATGGCACTAGGATGCACTAAAAATCATAAAATCGAGTTATACGGCTTATTTTTATATTTATCGACAAACGTGGGCACGCATGTGTCCCGCGCGCTGTCTCCTAACGCCGCATCAACTTGCTGCATGCAGCGGAGTCTGGTTTTGTTTAGATCACAGGTAATGTGCCTATTGCAAATTCGCGCACATGGTCTCCTGCTGTCGACGCGCCGCCGTGTTTGCGCATCTATTGCAATTCGCGCTCAAGGCCGCATGCAGTCGACGCGCCGCCTTTGCGCACCTCTTACTTTTATTATCATATACTGTTCCGTCGTTGTTTACGCAGTTTCAGCATGCACTATCGATGGAATGCAGCCAATTTCGTGCCGGGCGCTGATTAATCCAGTCGTGTGTTGAGAGACTTATATCGTTTATTCGGACTTCAATATTCTAAATTTGTGTTATACTCGAAGATCAATCGGCTATTTATTTGTACTTTGTGACTATAGTAATTTGTTTAATATTAGGAAATGCCGGTTTTTGATCGCGTTTGTTATGTATATTACAAGTCACGTGATAGTGGATTTGATAACATTCTTCACTCGGCGTTGTGTTTGGTGTAGGTTGCTAAATTAAGATGTATATCGCCCCCGTGTTGATTCTCATCACTAAGAAAGATCCATCAAGCTCGTGTGAGTATTTTTTAAACTAAACAGCACAGATTATTTCTTGTTTGATTGTTAGCTATAACATAATTCAAATGTATGAAATATATTTGTTTTAATTAATGTTTTCGTTTAGTTACAGCACTCGTTGTGCATGGCAGTCCGATAAGCTGTACATTGGTAAGTTTATAATTCAATTATATTTTTCGGTTAAATTTACATACGCTGTTTATAAACAAGTTTTCTATTTGTCACGTACTACCTACCTGTGATACAAATTAGACAAATTAGTAGGAAATATAATTGTTTTATATTTTTATCTGATAGAGAATCTTCCAATCTTTCATAATCAACAATTCGTGGGATGCTATCTCTTTTAGTTTAAGAGATATTAATTATCAAAAATCGTCGAAAAAAAGTATCAAGCACCCCCCCTTTGGCAACTGTAATTTTCCATGGTTCTTTCGTGTTTGCTCGCGATCTAGGCGTCGCACTAACCTCAGCGCGGCGTCAAAAGATGCGGAATTAAATTTTCCGTCGGGTGGTAATAGTTTGTTGCCGGAATTTCCTCTGTAACTCGTGAAAATTTGCATAAAACTGTAATTTTCCATGGTTCTTTCGTGTTTGCTCGCGATCTAGGCGTCACACTAACCTCAGCGCGTCGTCAAAAGATGCGAAATTAAATTTTCCGTCGGGTGGTAATAGTTTGTTGCCGGAATTTCCCTTGTAATTCGCGAAAATTTGCATAAAACAGTAATTTTCCATGGTTTTTTCGTGGTTGCTTGCGATCTAGGCGTCGCACTAACCTCAGCGCGGCGTCAAAAGATGCGAAATTTAATTTTCCGTCGGGTGGTAATAGTTTGTTGCCGGAATTCCCCCTGTAACCCGCGAAAATTCGCATAAAATTGTAATTTTCCATGGTTTTTTCGTGGTTGCTTGCGATCTAGGCGTCGCACTAACCTCAGCGCGGCGTCAAAAGATGCGAAATTAAATTTTCCGTCGGGTGGTAATAGTTTGTTGCCGGAATTTCCCTTGTAATTCGCGAAAATTTGCATAAAACTGTAATTTTCCATGGTTATTTCGTGTTTGCTCGCGATCTAGGCGTCGCACTAACCTCAGCGCGGCGTCAAAAGATGCGAAATTAAATTTTCCGTCGGGTGGTAATAGTTTATTGCCGGAATTTCCCTTGTAATTCGCGAAAATTTGCATAAAACTGTAATTTTCCATGGTTATTTCGTGTTTGCTCGCGATCTAGGCGTCGCACTAACCTCAGCGCGGCGTCAAAAGATGCGAAATTAAATTTTCCGTCGGGTGGTAATAGTTTGTTGCCGGAATTCCCCCTGTAACCCGCGAAAATTTGCATAAAATTGTAATTTTCCATGGTTTTTTCGTGGTTGCTTGCGATCTAGGCGTCGCACTAACCTCAGCGCGGCGTCAAAAGATGCGAAATTAAATTTTCCGTCGGGTGGTAATAGTTTGTTGCCGGAATTTCCCCTGTAACTCGTGAAAATTTGCATAAAACTGTAATTTTCCATGGTTCTTTCGTGTTTGCTCGCGATCTAGGCGTCGCACTAACCTCAGCGCGGCGTCACCTATCACTTCTTCTAAGTATTCAGAAGGAAACAGGTTATAAAACTTACACTTTTGAGGTTTTTTTGTATCGCCCTGTATAATATAAATTCCTAATCATCAGTAAAAAATTAATTATTTTTTTATTGTTTTGATGCGATTTTCTTTTTAAATTATAGATTTTCTTTTGGCAACACCCTGTATATAATTTTCCAGGGATGCAACGCGAAAACAGTGCGCAATTTGCTATTTTCTAGTGTTATATTTTGTACTTTTGCAGCCGTTAGTACAGCGCGGTTATGCAGGTCATAAACATATTTTAAAATGACGTCATGTGTTCTGTAGGTATTGAACTTGGAAGTTCTGAACTTGTATTGTATTTAGTTTGTTAATAAAGAAATGTTAAAGGCAATGGCTGTATCTTATGACTTGTGCACCCCATCCTTCTATCATTTCAGGTACAGGTCACAACTTGTAAAGTATTTCACAGTGTTGTGGGCGGCTCTGAGAGCGGCGACACTTAGAAATATCTCTACAAGTCCTCAAGGAGTTCTCCCACTCGGGGGATGATCCCCACTATAAAAATTGTTAAGGTATCTTGTATGATTTGTGTACTCCATCTTTCATTTCAGGTACAGGTAAGAACTTGTAAGAATATTTTTAAGTGTCCCCTCTCTTGAGGCGACTTAAAAATTAGAAATATTTTTACAAGTTCTTAAAAGGATCTCCTTATAAGGAGTTCCCTCTCTCTGGGGATGATCCCCCACCATAAAAATTGTTGATATGCCTGATAATTTCGGGGATGAAGCGCAGAGACATCGTAGCTGTAGGATGGGCCGGGAGCAATGGACGAACCGAAGCAGTGGGCGATCGACCAGAGCGCCGGAGGCGCACTGGGAGATCGACCGTAGACTGTCTTATAACGACACGTGCCAAAAAATTTAAAAATTCTGTCACCCCTATTCTCTTTTCTTCCTATACTCTCTCTTCTTCTTCTCTTCTTACTTCTCCTATACTCTCTCTCCTGCTGCTGCTGCTGCTCTCTATTTGCTCCTCCACCATCTTCACTTATTCTTATTGTGGCTTCGTTGTACTTTGCTTTTCAAGTTATTTCTAACATTTGAATCTTGAATTTTTGTGGTATGCAACCCACATTTCGTAAATTTCTTATTATTTAATAAAATTGCCTTCTACAACTGAGATTCGATCCATGAACCTCTAGCATGCTAGCATATGCACATGCCACCTGAGCCACACGGCTCTCTTATCGAATCTTATTTGTTTCAGGTATAAATGTTGTTGTTTTTCTCACCTTTTTAAAAACAACAACATTTATGTACCTGTTATTCACATTTTAAAAACGTACTATCAAATGTGGTCTTTAAATCTAATTCTGAAAACGACAAAATGGAAACATGGACAAATATACTAGCAAATGTAATATTAAAAGTATAGTTTATTGCAACTCATACCATCACAAGAGTACATGTTGAATTTTAATATTATTTGTTGATATTTAAGTAGTTTCAAAGTATTTACTCATTTGATTGTTTCCCCGCTTTTCTTTAACGTCTGATGAATTCTTTTCGTCCATGAAACATTTTCACTAACTGTTTAATTCGTCGAATATTAATGTTACACCCTGACGTGCATTTTCGCGGTTGAAATATTTCACAAATTAATAACACTGCACAAATAAAACCACTGCGACTTCTTAGCCGATGTGAGATATCCGTCGGCCGACGGCAAACATGTGCGCACATTGTAAAACCACGCAATTTTGGGATCCACGCGCGATAATTCATTAACTATTCGTTGCACTCGTCTGTTAAATCAAAATGCTATCCTTACTGACCGATTCGAATTCAACTACAGATTTAAAATCTCAAGAAACGTGATAGGTCGCCACGAAAACCACCGCGCAAAGAAACGCGTGCACACCACGTGGCAGCGCACGATCTACTAGGTAAGAAATGGAACAAGCACTACTGAGCGCGCATGTGACGCGCTGCAACGCGATAAAAAAAGAGGTGTTTGTACACAAACAGTGATAAACTAAAACTTTCTAACTTATACCTGAAATTTCAATTCATTTCATTAATACGCAGAAATCTCGCTATTATACTTCATATATTTCACCTGGTTGCTATTTTTAATTAATTAACCGATCTATAATTGTACACCTATCCGAATCCGAAATCAGAATTGAAAAATTCCTACTTTTAATTTTCAACATAAAAAAGAGAAATCTTTTGCCTTTTTTATAACAAAATCTTTTCTTTAAAATTTTTTGTGCCATTTTGATCATTTTTCAATAATGATGCCATCGTGTAGAGAATTTTTCAAGGATCAAGAATATGAAGTTCTTTTTTTTTCTAGCCCTCTTAGTCGTCGAGACAATTACTATTTTAATCTTCTAAATTAAATTATTCCATGAGGCTGTGAAATGTGTGTCATAATATAAATTATATTCACATCCATATATCAAGTCATAACATTTAGTTAGCTTTACACATAAGGCACAATAATCTCGTTTTAACAATTATGTATGTAAGCATCTACGTATGAATGTTTTAGTTTCATTGTGACAATATAAAGTGTTAATAACCGAAATGGTCACGATGTGCCTCCAGCCATTTGGTCACCGACATGGAACTCGTCTTCATCCATTCTATGTTCATCTGGACATCTTCGTAGACGCGCTTGAAAGCACCCTTCGCGGTCCCCAGCTCCACACTATTCCCGAATGCCACAAGCTGCTCCAAGTCATATGGGGTGTTCATGTACATCGAGAGTGGTTCAATCATCTTTGTTAGCCGATTGAAGGCCATTCCATAACTGTAGCAAACAAAAATATTATGAGATGATATAAACTTCAAGATTTTAAAGTAAAGAACTTACTAATCTTTGAGAGCATCCCAATTTTCACGCAGAAAAGAAAATGCAAGAGTATGACCGCGAATATTTTTGGCCACAGCATAGAAAACATGTTTGCCATCTTGTTTTCGAACACCGGAAGTATCATCCAACATCATGTTGAGGTATTTTCGTAGAAGCCATGGTTGCTCGGTACAACCAAGAGCTTTCAACAGGGCAAGCTTCTCCGAGGGTGTGGTGACGTTAAGGTACATCTGGTAAGCAAAATTGAACTCGGTCTCACCCCTTCACGAATTGCAGTACAATATACAAGATCTTGTAGATTTGCATGGACACTACAACAAAACCAAAACAATTAATCAAAAACAAAAGTGTTAATTCGTCATCTACTTACGGTGTTTTGTAAATCATCAAAGCCCTGAACATGGCCCGCGCTTTACCAACACATCTACTCTCAGAATTCTGGCAAGCCCATTTCAGGATAAGAGGACGCATGCGTTTCATGTCATAAGTATCCGTGGAACTCTCCTCCGGAAGTGTGTTTGCAAACGACTGATCAAATACCATTGCAAGAAAAGTGTTGAACTGGGTGAAGCATTCTTGATTCAATAACATGTTGTAGATGTACTTTACTTTTTCGAAAGCAATGTGGTAAGGAACAAAGTGATTGTCCCAGCGGCCTACGGTGATTAACAGCTTGAAAGGGATGTCATAGTCGAGGAGATTTGCACGTGCTAGGTCCATTGCATTCGCTAATAACTGGGAACGTACCAGAAGAGGGAAGTGTTTGAAGGTATGTGTTATTTGCTTCCAGTTTCTTTCGTCGTAGTTCACGATATAATATCCTACAAGATTAGGAGACTAGGATTAAAAACAACAAAAGAAACAGTTTAAATACTAACCTGAATGTTTCAAATTCAAAAGATAACCCTCTTGAATATCCAACTCCACCTTGGTTTCCTTCTGTCCTTCAATCCAGAACTTCGGTTTCGTATCATCAAAGTCCGCCTGCAACTTGGTAGCATACGAAACCGGGATCCACCATATTTTATCATCATCCGTGTGCTTCTCGGTAGGCCCAAAACGGAATCGCTTCTGTGTCAATGTCAAATTATTATTCTGATAGTCTGCTACAACAGTGACCACTGGAAACCCAGCCTGTCGAATCCACCCATCCAAAATCGTCTTCAAATCATTGTTATGTTTTAATCCAGGCACTCTAGGGTTCCTCTCAATGAAAGCTTGCACAAAATCAATATACTCAGCATTCTGATACTGATGCTTATTCAGATAATGTTTAATCGAATCTTTAAAGTGCTCCTCTCCGTAGATATTCTGCAACATGTGAATAATAGACGCACCCTTCGCATACGCAATTCGATCAAACGCCTGTCGAATATCATCGCTAGACTTCATCTCATTTGACAATGGCCGTGAAAAACTATAGATATCGTTGTCCATTGCGGAAAATTGTTCATTCAACAACAGTTCATTGCTGAAATTCCATGATGGTTCCACATGATTGATGCCACGATACATAAAATAGTTGGCGAAACCTTCCTTCAAGAAGAGATCGTCCCAGAATTTCGGCGTGACCAAGTTACCAAACCATTGATGCGTTAATTCATGCGACATTGTACTAACCAGACTCGTCTTCAGCGACAAATCAGCGTCCTGTTCATCAATAAGTAACGAAGTCTCGCGGTAGGTAATCAATCCCCAATTCTCCATCGCAGAGAAACCAAAATCTGGTACCGCAACTTGATCCAACTTCGGGAGTGGAAACTTGATATCAAAGTACTTCTCATAATACTTCAGTATTCTGGGAGATATTTGGGAAGCGTAGATTGATTGGGAGATGACATCCTTGCGGGACCAGATTCTGTAGGCGCGTCCATCGGTGTTGAACTCGTAGGGCTGCAGGTCACTGACGACAAACGCAACCAAATACGTGGACATATTCGGAGAACGCTCATAGTTATCCCAAGAATAACCAGGCATTTCCATACTAAAAATTAAACATTAAAAAGCATCACGACCAAAAAGTTTACCATTTTACCTGTCTTCGGTATTAATCCGGGGCATATTTGACAAAGTGGTCATATAATTGGGACGTGCAAGGCTCACACTGAATGTTGCTTTGAAATCTGGTTCATCAAAACATGGAAATGCTCGGCGGGCATCCAAAGGAGAAAATTGAGAACTGGCAATCCATCTACAAACACAACAAATGAATATTTTATAGATTTTTACAGTTTATTCTTACCTCAATGTGTTTGTTTCCTTATCCGTGTAGCTACTTCGATAAAACCCTTGATTTAAATCATTCAAGTGACTGACGAAAGTCATGTGCAGGAAATACTGCCCTCCTGGCTTCATGAGTCTATCTAGATGAAATGTATACATCTGATCGTCGCTGTTGTAGGTCAACTCCTTCAGCCGAAGGAAGTAATCGCCCGTGACGTACTTTATTCGAATCGATGGCCGCTCGATACCAATCTCCACGGCGTGCAGGTAAATCTTATCGGTTGCTTCCACACAATCGAAATCAATGGTGACATTGCCAAGTGTGGTAAAGTTATTCTCAATCAAAAACGGCATCAATTTCAGCCTAAAAATGAACTTATGTAATTTTTAATTTTTAATAACTTAAAAATTAATTATCTTACGTATAATGCGTCGGTTTTACGTCGCGTGGTAAACGCTTCAGAAGGATATCAATATTTTTCGCAAACTCCTGCGGAACGGAATCACCAGCAACCATTTTGACAACTGGAGATTGCTTTCTATCCAACGAAGGAATAATACTGGCTTTTGTAAGAGCAGCCGGTGCAGAACTTGCATCACATTCATGTGGTGCAAAGAAGTAAACAGCAAGAGCCGCCAAAACGGCTAACAATATGGCCCCCATGACGAGGAAGAAACAGACAAGTTTCGATATTCGCAGCCGACCTGAAGAATTTTGGGCACCGCTGACGTTGTATTTCTTCACGTGCGGATTCTCCACGTCCGATACGCCTGGAAAAACAGATAGAAAATTGATTAAATGCACATGCACCTTTATAGATACTAAAACTACATTGATTAGAGCGTGGGTTGGGCCTTGGTACACACCCCTAATTTCTTTCCCAGCGTTAAAACGTTTCCCAATGATAAAAACGCCATCGTGATAAGAAAGTGATTTAACTTTTAACCTTTCGCTTTAGAAATTAAAAACAAAAAAGGTTTTGCATCATCACTTAATATATATATATAGTAGTATTGTAGGGTAAGTGATGACATTTTAACGAGCATGAGAGGAAATGCACAGCGAGTGAATAGAATCGAAAATTGCACAGCGTAAAACTAAAAATAACTTTAATGTCATTCAAACACCTCGATTTTTTTGCTGACCTAGAAAATTTTTAGTACAATGTGTACAAAGAAAAAAATAAATCTTTCGCATGTTGTACACGCAATAATTTTTCAACGCAAATAAGAAAAACAAGAAAAGTTTATTTTCTTAGTAGGTGGGAATAAAACACGATTTAAAATAAAATATGACGTCAAATGTTATAATTAACACTAGATGCAGCCCACAAAATAAAAATTAATGTGTTTCGGTGCAATTGCATAAAAGATGACCATGAATAAAATAGAATACTGGAATAAAAATCTATTTAAAGCCAAAAAACACAAAAATTATTACCTTGCCCGTAATATCCAACCATTTTAAATTTTATTAAAAACAATGCACTTAATATACGTAAATGACTCAAAAATAAACTTTTTTATATCCTACAACTGGAAAATCTTGTTTAAACACTGATAATGACAGTCAAAAATTAATAACAACATAAAATGCACACGAGCATAACGTAAATGATAAAATATCTATGCTCATTCACAAAATATTCAACCTGATAAAATCTAATAACTTGTGTTTTTTTCTAGCACGTCGCGACGCTTTTACTTGTGCGTGTTGTGACTACCGAAACGACGCGCGCGGAAATGTGCCTGGTGGAAAACGCGCGCGCGGCGAATTTTCGCGGTGTGTGCGCGCAGGAAAATGCACAGGAAGTGCGCAGCCAGTGCCAGTTATTTGTGTTTCAATGATCGCTGCATTACAACATTTTTTGGCATAGTTTAATATTTACTTTTACAGATATACATTAACAGAGCCATCTGTTAGTGTTCTATTTTTTAATTATATAAAAGAATTTAATACAATCCTGTCTTTTATATTTTACATTTCATTGCCAAGACTATTTTTTGTGTATGGTAAATTTAGTAAAGTTTATTCACCTCACAAACTGTACACTTGAATTTTTTTTCAAAAGATTATAACTCGTTGCAATTGCAATTGGTCATGAGATGTGTTGTAAAATGTCGTAATAGTCGTAATCTTAATTAAAATTGCAATTAATCAACGCGAGCTGTAATTAACAGAAGCTAAAGTTATAAGTTTAAACTTCCTTTAATGTTGTCACACACAACTTTAATTAAAAAAAAAAAAATTGAATTTTATATAGTTTATAGTTTATAATTTTAATAGTTTTCTAATTATTTTTTACGAGAATATTTATAAAACACAAAATGCTATAATATTTTATGTAGGGCATAAAAGTTTGATGAATTTACAACAGAGTGTTTAATAATTACGACGCAAAACATACCAAAACAGGATGTTTTTATTTAAATAACAAAAAAATCTTATGTTTTTCTTAGTTTTTTAATTATTATAAGAAAACGCAATGACGTATAAAATTGATTCTTTCAGATATCGATTCAGAATTAAATTCTGCATCTAATTTCATTGAAACACGATATGTTACAATTTTTTCCTGCTAATTATGAGCGAATAATTAGTTATTATTAAAATTTAACAAACATAATTTTCAACGCCCTGTAACTTTTTTGCAATAATAATTTTATGCATCTCTTCGCCTGATGCGATGCAGAATTTAATGTAGTATTTATTGGCTCTTAAATTATTGTTTTATCTATTATAGTTTTTAAGTTATTAACAAAAAACGCGGATATGAACAAACTTGTAATGTGAGACGCGTAAGAAAACAAACAAAAACGCATGGTAGTAAAAGCTGGAAATTGTGTCAAAGCAGTACAAGTCATGTATTGAATTTCCCGTTCCCGAAATAATAACTAAATCTAAAATTAACCTTAATATTTATTAACAAATTAAAAATGAAGACTCACTAGTATATTCCAGATCTTTTCGATCGCCCATTTTATCACAAATTATTTAAAATTTAATTAAAGCCAAAGTAAAATCAATTAAAACATTTGAACACACGATTAATTAACACTTATGCGGCTGAACACGAAATTTTTGGCTTGTTGACCATCACAATGTCACAATCACAATAATACAATTGAAGCGAATTGCATCGAGCGTGCTTCGTTTTCGTTGTGCGGCGCCACACACTGCGAAAACGCTCCTCCGCGTTTAGAATTAAAATTAAAACCTCACATTAACAAAGTAACACTAACGCTCTACAGCTAATATTTACACAATGAGCACGCAGTTCAATAATATGTTCATTACATATTAAAATAGTCAATTGGGCGATTCACGACAAGAAAACAACGGAAAACTCAAGTTGTCGCAAGTTGTGTGTTGTGTTTGCGATGACTAGTACCTTACTACATAAATGACATAAAACATTTTATTTACTTCACCGGTGCGAATATTTTACGAACATATTTCACCTACACACATTCTCCTACGCATTTATTTACCCACGGTGATTCATTAATATTAACAATTGAGACTATCGGAATAAAATCAAGAACATTGTTTAATTCTTCATCAAAATATAGCATATGATTTAAATCGTAAACATGTCCAAATTAAATACAATTTTAACTGCGCTTTATTTTTTTGTGACGGAATGTCCATATGATAACACTATGTAAGCAATAGCGGTCTAAAAATAGAAAAATCTTGTTTTTTCGCGGTTTTTTGTTAATAACTTCAAAACCATAATAGATAGAACAATAAGTTATAAATGAGAAAATACTACATTAAATTCTGCATCGAATCATGTAAAGAAGTGATTAAAAATATTATTGACAAAGAAGTTACAGGGTGTTAAAAATGATGTTTGTAAAATTTTGCAAATACCTAATTAATTGCTTATAATTAGCAACAAAAGGTTACAAGGAACAATGTTTTAATGCAGTCAGACACAGAATTTAATTCTGCATCAACATATGAAAAAATCAACTTGATATGATAATTAGTTTCCTTGTAATCATTTAAAAACTAAACAAAATGCAAGATTTCTCAATTTAAGACCGTGATTCCTCACATAGCGATTAGTCCATATACCTATATTGCTTACAATGAGAAAACTATTAAATATTTATTTAAAATATAGCAAAATATATGTATTCTTGAGCATTTAAAGGGCAGTTTTGGACTTCGTTTGAATTCAAATATATAACACGCCTAAATATATTGCAATTTTAACTCCGATTTATTTATTTTTTGTCACGAAATGCCCATAAGAAAGCAATATGTAAGCAATAGCGGTCTAAAAATAGGAAAATATTGTTTTTTCGTGGTTTTTTGTTAATAACTTAAAATCCATAATAGATAAAACAATAAATTATATATGAGTTAATACTACATTAAATTCTGCATCGAACCACGTAAAGAACTGACTAAAATTATGATTGACAAAGAAGTTACAGGGTGTTCAAAATGATGTTTGTTAAATTTTGCAAATACCTAATTAATTGCTTATAATTAGCAACCAAATATTAGAAGGAACAATGTTTTAATGCAGACAGACACAGAATTTAATTCTCCATCAACATATGAAAAATCATGTTGATATAATAATTAGTTTTCTTGTAATAATTTAAAAACTAAACAAAATGCAAAATTTCTTAATTTAAGACCGTGATTCCTCACATAATGATTATTCCATACTGCACTGTGCCTATATTGTGCACAAGGAGAAAATTGTTAAATATTTGTTTAAAATATAGCAAAATTTATCCATTCTTGAGTATTTAAAGGGCAGTTTTGGCCTTAGTTCGATTTCAAATATATAACACGCCTAAATATATTGCAATTTTAACTAAGATTTATTTATTTTTTGTCCCGAAATGTCCATATGAAAGAATTATGTAAGGAATAGCGGTCTAAAAATAAGAAAATATTGTTTTTTTGCGTTTTTTTGTTAATAACTTAAAAACCATAATAGATAGAACAATAAGTTATAAATGAGAAAATACTACATTAAATTCTGCATCGAATGACGTAAAGGAGTGATTAAAATTTAATTGACAAAGAAGTTACAGGGTGTTAAAAATGATGTTTGTTAAATTTTGCAAATACCTAATTAATTGCTAATAATTAGCAACAAAATGTTAAAAGGAACAATGTTTTAATGCAGTCAGACACAGAATTTAATTCTGCATCTACATATGAAAAAATCAACTTGATATGAAAATTAGTTTTCTTGTAATAATTTAAAAACTAAACAAAATGCAAGATTTCTCAATTTAAGACCGTGATTCCTCACATAGCGATTAGTCCATATACCTATATTGCTTACAATGAGAAAACTATTAAATATTTATTTAAAATATAGCAAAATATATGTATTCTTGAGCATTTAAAGGGCAGTTTTGGACTTCGTTTGAATTCAAATATATAACACGCCTAAATATATTGCAATTTTAACTCCGATTTATTTATTTTTTGTCACGAAATGCCCATAAGAAAGCAATATGTAAGCAATAGCGGTCTAAAAATAGGAAAATATTGTTTTTTCGTGGTTTTTTGTTAATAACTTAAAATCCATAATAGATAAAACAATAAATTATATATGAGTTAATACTACATTAAATTCTGCATCGAACCACGTAAAGAACTGACTAAAATTATGATTGACAAAGAAGTTACAGGGTGTTCAAAATGATGTTTGTTAAATTTTGCAAATACCTAATTAATTGCTTATAATTAGCAACCAAATATTAGAAGGAACAATGTTTTAATGCAGACAGACACAGAATTTAATTCTCCATCAACATATGAAAAAATCATGTTGATATAATAATTAGTTTTCTTGTAATAATTTAAAAACTAAACAAAATGCAAAATTTCTTAATTTAAGACCGTGATTCCTCACATAATGATTATTCCATACTGCACTGTGCCTATATTGTGCACAAGGAGAAAATTGTTAAATATTTGTTTAAAATATAGCAAAATTTATCCATTCTTGAGTATTTAAAGGGCAGTTTTGGCCTTAGTTCGATTTCAAATATATAACACGCCTAAATATATTGCAATTTTAACTAAGATTTATTTATTTTTTGTCCCGAAATGTCCATATGAAAGCATTATGTAAGGAATAGCGGTCTAAAAATAAGAAAATATTGTTTTTTTGCGTTTTTTTGTTAATAACTTAAAAACCATAATAGATAGAACAATAAGTTATAAATGAGAAAATACTACATTAAATTCTGCATCGAACCACGTAAAGAAGTGACTAAAAATATGATTGACAAAGAAGTTACAGGGTGTTGAAAATGATGTTTGTAAAATTTTGCAAATACCTAATTAATTGCTTATAATTAGCAGCAAACTGTTACAAGAAACAATATTTTAATGCAGTCAGACTCAGAATTTAATTCTGCATCAACACATGAAAAAATCAAGTTGATATGATAATTAGTTTTCTTGTAATAATTTAAAAACTAAACAAAATACAAAATTTCTTAATTTAAGACCGTGATTCCTTACATAGCGATTATTCCGTATACTGCACTGTGGCTATATTGTGCGAAATGAGAAAATAGTTAAATATTTCTTAAAAATATAGCAAAATTTATCTATTTTTGAGTATATAAAGGGCAGTTTTGGCTTTCATTTGATTTCAAATATAAAACACGCCTAAATGTACTGCAATTTTAACTGCGATTATTAATTTTTTGTCACGAAACGTCCATATGAAACCAATATGTAAGCAATAGCGGTCTAACAATAGAAAAATCTTGTTTTTTTGCAGTTTTTTGTTAATAACTTAAAAAGCATAATAGATAGAACAATAAGTTATAAATGAGAAAATACTACATTAAATTCTGCATCGAATGACGTAAAGGAGTGATTAAAATTTAATTGACAAAGAAGTTACAGGGTGTTAAAAATGATGTTTGTTAAATTTTGCAAATACCTAATTAATTGCTAATAATTAGCAACAAAATGTTAAAAGGAACAATGTTTTAATGCAGTCAGACACAGAATTTAATTCTGCATCTACATATGAAAAAATCAACTTGATATGAAAATTAGTTTTCTTGTAATAATTTAAAAACTAAACAAAATGCAAAATTTCTTAATTTAAGACCGTGATTCCTCACATAGCGATTAGTCCATATACTGTACCGAACCTATATTGCGCACAATGAGAAAACTATTAAATATTTCTTTAAAATAATGCAAAATTTGTCTATTTTTGACCATTTCAAAAGCCGTTTTGACTGTCTTTTGATTCCAAATCAAAGGCACGCATAAATTTCAATATTTGCATACGTGAATAATTTTATGGCTGTGAGAGAAACTTCAACTTTGTCGGCGGCCCGTAAAGTTGCAAACGTGCAAAATACCGTACTATGCATGCACATCATGCACCACATTCCTTTCGTGACTTCAGCACTCGATGAAAGAAATGATTGAATGATTGTTTTCCTACCGATTGTTTTCGCGACATGCCCTCACACACAAAACTTACGGGACATACATTTTAATTGCGTGTAATTGCTGGATTACTAATATTTAAATGAATAGACTTTATGCAAATTAGTAATTTGGCAATTTGTATACTAAACGTGCTTAAAATTATTAATTTTATGCAACCAAACATTTCGCGAATGAAAAAAATGACAAAAACATGACATTTTAATCGAATTATATAATTTTTAACAATATTGCATGTCAAGTCACACGATAAACTTGATTTTATAATAAAAATGATGTCATATTATTGTTTAATTTTTTTATTATGAGCGTGCGGTCGCAATGGTTTCTATTTTAATACTCTATGCAAATTAAATCCGATAAAATGACACGATACGAATTCATAATTAAATCAATTAAATTATCATAACACCCAAAGTACACATAAGATGAGGTAATAACTTCCGGTTTATGATTTGAGTTCCGATATAAGTCCTATTACTTTTCATTTGATTAATAAGAAATAATCCACGCAATAAATGCACTCATTCAATTGCGTAAAACGGAAATTCTAACATTTTTACTAAACCTACACGATTAACTTATTAATAAATTGCAACATTACAAGTAGCAACATCTGTTTAATTTGCAAATTCCACTTTAACGCTAACATTCCAAGATAGCTGCAATTTTCTGAACGTGCGACACTAGCGCCCTCACATGCAATGTCATTTCGTGAAGTTATACTTTGCTTTAAAACTAAACTTTTATTGTTATTTTAAGCACTGGCAGTAAAAAAGCAATAGAAATCACTAAAAGGAAAATTTATTGCGGCGTTTGGATTTTTCTCACTCGCATTGTGCGCTGAATATCTGTTAAAGTAATTAAAAGAAGTCGATTTATGTGCGACAGTCCATACACAAACACATCATGATGGTTCATCAGTGCGGACGGAATTATTTCCCGAGTGGCGCAATATCAAAAAAAGTGTCATAACAAACACACACAAACAATACTTTAAAAAAAATGAAACAAGTAAAACTAAATCGTGAATATAAAAATATGTAGCATGTACAAATTAAACTTAAATCTTTTAAGTTGTTTTTGAGAAGATGTTTAACGTCGACAAGATGTCGCTCAAAATCAAGTTATATTTAAAAGGGACGTGAAATTGAAACGTAGATGTGTCGCGCTAATTGGACGCTAATCGTCCGCAACGGAAGTGCCATATGGCAGCGATACCTTTCTGACGTTAATTAGTAAAAATCAACTAATCACTCTCCTAAAAATTTGCATTAGCGTGTAAACAAAGTTTAAGAATCAATTTAAAAGCATAATTTTTGATGTTATGAATTTAGGCGTCAATATGTTAACCCTATGTTAAGAATAACGGTCTAAAAATAGCAAAATATTGTTTTTTCGTGGTTTTTTGTTAATAACTTTAAAACTATAATAGTTACAAAAATTATTTATAAACCAGCAAATACTCCATGAAATTCTGTGTCGAATCCCGAAAAGAGTTAATTAAAACCCTGATTGCTAAAGAAGTTACAGGGTGTTGAAAATGATGTTTGTTAAATTTTATAAATAACTAATTAATCGCTCATAATTAGCAACAAATTACTATTCCAAACTATAGTTTAATGAAATCTGACACAGAATTTAATACTGAATCGATGTATGAAAGAATCAACTTGATACGATATTGCGTTTTCTTGCAATAATTAAAAAACTAACAAAAATGCAAAATTTATAAATTTAAGACCGTGATTCCACACATAGTGATTAATCTATACTCTCGCACAATGTTTAATGTTTACAATGTAGTTAAAAAGATCAAAGACCTCGAAAAAAGCTTTAAAGGGTTGAAAACTGTGAGAATGTCTCCCAACCCTGCAGAAAAACTTACGTTTGACTTATGCCGCCGATGTTTCTTACTCTACAAAACAAAACCGACATAAAAACTAAAATTTCTTGGATTTTACCGGAATATAAAGTTTGCTATTTTATAACAAATGTAACAATAGTCCATAAACACTCTTATATCATTCGGGGGTGGTTAAACATAAAACAAAAAAATATAAAAGTGTGTTAGATTTTTTTAGAAATAAAAAAAACACAAAGAAAACATCCCGCAACCTAAAAAATGAAAATAAAATAAATGTGTCAAGATGTCAAGGTGTGCGTGGGGCGCGATGTGTGAAGTCGTAAATCTATCCCCCTTAAAAAGCCACCCTTATTGGTGTGGTTTGTTGATTCAGTTGTTTTACATTGTTAAAGTTCCAAAGCTGCAGTTAATAAATTCCGCATTACTCGACCTATAATCGTGAATTTTACCTTTACAACCCTCAAACAATAAATCTCGCGCCCTTTAAATGTTACGCGACTCTATTATAACCCCCACAATACAAAAATATAAAATTTCATCAATACCTTTTTTATTTAATCAATTTTGCTTCAAATCGTGTATTTTTTCGACGAAAAAAATACGAATTATTTGTGTCGCGATAATTTCGCAATCTATTTTCCGCAATCTGCCCTTTACCGCGTCCTAGATTTACCTGTAGACTCTGATGCAACTATTTGTGTTTGTAGGACAGGGTGGAAGTTGACAGGGCACGCCTGTGTCTTCGATTTTTGCGCACACCACGCGAAGAAGACCAGGAAGGAAACGCAATCATAAATAATCGATAACAAAAGCACTAAAAGCGGCTAAAAGGACGACTTCTAGATGTTATCTTTTATCCTTGACAAATAGACGGACAGCAGGAAAGCCGGAAAACAGGATATGGGAGTGATTGGGAACGGGTTGCTAAGAGAAAGGAAATTAATTGAGGTCAAATAAAAAATCATAATTTATATGCCCATATGTTGCCGCCATGTGAAGAATAACGGTCTAAAATATTAAAAACTGTGATTTTTAATAGTTTTTTGGTGATAACTCAAAAACTAAAAAAGATAACAGAATGCCGTTTGGTCAATTCGAAAGTATATTGAATTCTGCATTGAACCACGTAAACAATTTAATAAATACCTAATTACCAAAAAAGTTACAGGGTGTTAATTATGAAGTCTGCAAAATTTTTCTAACAACTAATTAATCGCTCATAATTAACACAAAAAAATTTCTACAAACTATCTAACTACAAATTTAGACTCAGAATTTAATTCTGAATCTATTCCCGAAAGAATCAATTTGATATCTCGCATTGTTTTTGTTCAATAAATAAAAAACTAATAAAAACACAAAAATATTAAAATTAAGACCGTAATTCTTGACATATCGAATAAACCCATATACAAATCTTTATATTATTTGTATTTGCGTGTCAATCAAAGCCCCGCCCCCTCGGTATCCACCCACACAGTATTCGGAAACTTCTCAAAGTCGTTTCAGTTTCAGTGAGTGTTTCAGTTCGAAATCTTACATCTGTTGCACGCGTCGCTACACATCCGCAACATCCGTCGCGAGAAAAATCTTTTAAAATCATCGCCACTGATTTCATCCGCTCATTTCACCGCGACGCGTTTCACCAACAACATCGCGACATGCACAACAAGGATAATTACGTTTACTACCCTTATATACCGCAACAAATGCCGCCATTAATGAGTGTGTGCTACAATTACAACAACTACCATCTCAATTATTCGTATCAAACGCCTGAGAATAGTTATATGCCTCCATTTCAAGATGGCATCCAAGATGGCGCAAATATCAACAATGACGAAACCGGAAATTCATCAGACGCGCATTTTTACAGTGAAAATTTAGGTTATAATTGTGATGGAAGTGATGAAATAGTGAAACAAGATGGTTACCAACCGGAAGACGACATTTTCGATGAGTACGCAACCCAATCAACAGGTAAATATTATATATGTAGATTTAGTGTAACACCCGGTGTATGATAAGTATCGTATTACTTTAAGTGAACTTAGGAGGCGTTGCATACGTCTCCAAACTGATTTATGCGATGAAAACATGCGCTGATCTTGTTTTTCCTGTCGTATTACTTACAGAACATTAATATTCTAATAACACGCATGTAATCATACTCGAAAACCTTTTATTAACATTAAAATTGAGTAAAATGTAGTTTTACTAACCTCTTTAGATCAAAATCCGTTGTCGGGCATCGAGGGACCGTTATTTCGTTGACATCTTCTCACGTCTCTTTGAAAATGAAGATTTTAATACTTTAATCTTCGTTACACCCCCGCAAAAACGCACAAACAAGTTCTTGTGTGGTCCACGCACGCACCACATGGTTTTACACGATGCTGACTGTCGAAATGCGGAGAAGACTGTAAAATAACCTCAAGGACATACACAAAGTCAAACTTAAGTCATATGAAGATGGAGTTTAAGTCGCGTTGACAAACACAACATATTTGAATGTTTACTTGTTATTTACAGATAATACAACAACGGATGTTGATAAAATGAGTGCAAATGCGAATTTGCAAAGGAAAGAACGCACTGCCTTCACAAAGAATCAGATTCGTGACTTGGAACGCGAATTTCAACATTCAAATTACTTAACACGACTGCGCCGATACGAAATTGCGGTTGGATTGGACCTTACTGAGCGACAAGTAAATATTGATTCATTTTATTTCATTTACATTATGTAATAATTTGTTTTTTTGTTTGTTTTAAGGTAAAAGTTTGGTTCCAAAATCGTCGTATGAAGTGGAAACGAACGAAAAGTACAACAGAATCAACAGTAAAACGATCTAAACGACAATAATATAAATGAAACTTATGAAAATGTATATATTTATCAAATTTATATCTGAATTGCGTGTTTTTACATTTATTAATAATTATTAAACAATACAAGTTGACCATTATACATTGGTGATACCAAATAATCATTTATTCAAACACAAATCAAAATGTTTATAGATTTGTACTTATGTAGAGTCAATTTTCATTTGTGGGCAATTTAAGTCTTAGAAATAACAATATTTACTGTTTACCTTTCTTTCCTGACCTTCCTTTACCTTTCTTCTTTGAAAAATTGACTTGTGTAACCAAATCTGGATCCAAAGTTAATTTTTTCCCAGCTTTACCACCTAAAGTACGTGCCGCCACCTTGGTAATAGCAGAATTGCTTTCTTTCTTTGCTTTTTTGTCTTTTGCCTTCATGATTGTTTTAGTTTTGACTGATTTTACTTTAATTTCTTTTTGGGATGCAACACAGCTTCAGAAACAACAATAGAATCATCAGAAAATGTTTCAGTTTCTTCTTGTGGTTCCAATGTTGCTTGTTCCACAGGTTTTGCAATTATTTTATTAACATCAACACCTTGCACTTGACAAAAATCTAACATGCCAGCCTTCTGTAAAGCCTTCACTTTCTTGGTAACCTTCTTCTGGTGTTTTTCAGGTGTCAGTTTCTGATTCTTTTGTGTTACAGTTGCTTTCTGTCTTAATTTCTTTGGAAACTTTGCTTCGCTGATGATAGTTTTGAACAAATCCCTATGCCTGGCCTCTGGTTCAATATATTTAGCCTCAAGCCTTCTTTTAAACATCAGATAGTTATCCATTGTCTCAGCTGCAATCTTAGCCACATCAGGATCATAGAATTCAACAAAAGCAGCTCCTTTGCTCTTGCCTGAGTTGTGTGATCGAAGAACTCTGACATTAGTTACATGACCAAATTGTTTGAAGAAGCGTCTGATTTCATTCTCAAAGAATCCTTTGGGAATATGGCTGAGGTAAATCAATCCTCGTTCCAAATAATCATCAATTTTAGAACCTTTTTTTGGTTTAGTCGGAGAAGCCTACCGAAATGAATTTACAGGTTAAAATTTGTTTTCTTGAAATAAAAGACAAAATATGCATTACCTTGACTTTCTTTTGTAGTTTTTTAACACTCTTCTTAAACGCCTTCTGTTTTCCACTATCCAACGCAATGGACGAGTCTAATTTCTCCATTTTAATGAAATTTACTTTGAAAATCAAGTGTAAGCTGAACAACGCACGTGTTTTGAAAAACAGCATGTGAATTGGTTTCGACAGTGGCGTCACCAACAATCAATATAAATATTTAAAGTATTAAAACAATTTAAGTTAGTTTAATATATAAAACATAATTAATATTTATTTTACATTAAAATACACTAACATTGCTATTAAATGTTCTATTTTAATTTATATTAATTGCATTTTTATTTATTTCTAAAGCGTAATATCATGATAGCGCCCCCTCTGTGTAAAAATAAGTACTAAGTATTATAAGAAGCAGACAGGACCGGCTTTAAATCCGAATGCTTGATTATTATTCCCGTAATCCACTGGTAAGAAATCAATAATAGGTAGTGCGTTTAATTTGTTTGTTTTAACTTCGAAAATAGTTTCTCCTTTTAATTTTCTTGTGCGACAACCGTCGTAAATAACGTTGGGCTTGTTACTTTTGATGGAATATATCAAATCATTGTCGCCTAATAATTTAATAGCAAAATCATAGTCTCCAGTGTTACCATTTTGCCATGCCACTGCGTTCATACAAGAATATGTAAAGTTTTGATGCGCTGTTTCGCTGAGAAGACGCAGGAAAGTCAATTGAACAATTCCAATGCTTTCGTATGATATCTGTCAAATTTTAAATGTCATATGAGTCAGTAAAGTAAAGTACAAAAGTACTAGGTTGCCTACCTTGAAACCACTCCTAAGTTTAGAGTACCAATCAACATTTCCTTCTTTTCTCCAAGGGATATTTGGCATGGAAGAGGTGTGGGTGTCAGGATGAATGCAGGTTGACCCTCCGGAGGACATGTTGCAGTAAACATAAATAGCATCGTCGATCATACCAAGATTAGGGTCAATCCAATACCAATCATTGTCAAAATTAGGGTAACCTATATGAAGGTCCCGACATGATCTCGCGGGGTTCTCCCTGGTACCCACTGGTTTTCGCTGACGTTCCAGATCTTGTCGCATCGAATAAATGACGCTGTACATGTCTAAGTATTTGAAACCCACTTCCACAGGGTAGTTTTCTTCTTCACTGGTCACACTATATAAAATATTGTAGGTTATGTTGAATTAAATATATAATATGAATTAAAACGTACTCTTCAATGCTTCGCCTTCGTCTTTGACCCTCTTGTCTTGTCTCCAACCTAAAAAGTACTTCTGGAGGTAGTAGAGGCATTTCAGCAGCGTTTCCAGGAGGTCCTTGTCCACCTGGCGGGCCACTTTCCCCTTTAAGTCCAGCTACACCTTCAGAACCTTTGGGTCCAGGTGGTCCTTCAGGTCCTACTGGTCCAATAGGTCCATCATTACCTTTAGGACCTGCTAGACCTATTGGTCCCATGTTTCCTTTCTCGCCGATTGGGCCTTGAATTCCAATGTCCCCTTTAAGACCTTTCTCGCCTTGTTCTCCTTTAAGACCACTCAAACCCATTTCACCTCTATGACCTTTGAGACCTCTGCGTCCTCTATCACCTTTTTCACCGCGTTGACCCGCTGCACCTGCCTTACCGTCTTGACCAACTGGTCCTGGAAGACCTGCAGCGCCTGTTTCGCCAGCTTGCCCTGGTTGTCCACGAGGACCGTTCAGGCCTTGCGGACCTGGTAAGCCTTGACTACCAGGAGAACCCGTTGCACCTATTGGACCAATAGGTCCAATATCACCTTTTTCTCCAGGTAGACCTGGACTTCCTTGAATACCAGCAGGGCCTTCGTTGCCTTGTTTGCCAGATGGTCCTACATCACCCATTTTACCAGGTGGCCCAGGAATGCCTGGTAAACCAGCGTCGCCAGGACGACCATCATCACCTGGTTTACCCTGATCACCTTTTAATCCAACAAGACCCGGTTCGCCTGGAGGACCTGGAAAACCAGGTGACCCTGGTGAACCTTTAGCTCCCTCTGGACCGGCAGGCCCGCGTAATCCTGGTAAACCTTGAATGCCTGGTTTACCTTCATCGCCTTTTGCACCTTGCATTCCTCTATCACCCTAAATTTTAAACTTTATGGCATAAATTTACAAAAATATAAATTTAACATACATTTTTGCCTATTTCTCCAGATGGGCCCTGACCACCAGGCGGCCCAGAATCTCCTTTCTGCCCTTGTGGTCCCTCTGGACCAGGAGGTCCAACTGGCCCCTCTTTCCCTGGGATACCTCTAATACCTTGCTCTCCAGGTATGCCAGGTAACCCCAAAGGTCCCTTTAATCCAATATCACCAACTTCACCTTTTATTCCTGGAGGACCTGGTAAACCTTGTGCTCCGGCTGGACCAGGATTACCCATAGGTCCTATCGGACCATCTTCACCCTTTGGTCCATGACGTCCTATAGCTCCTGGTGCCCCTTTTTCACCAGCTGGACCTATTGCTCCTGGTTCACCACGACCTCCTTGAGTTCCAGGATTGCCTTGAAGACCCTAATAATTTTCATTGCAAACAAAATCTTTACATAAGTTAGAAAACAACTTACAATATCGCCTTTTCCACCTTTAAAACCCTTTTCACCAGGTGGACCCATTTCTCCTTTGTCTCCGTCCTCCCCTGGTATACCAATAGGTCCAGGAGGCCCAGGTAACCCTCTAGCGCCTGGAATACCATCCCTACCACCCGGACCCGCTAACCCTGGCTCACCTCGATCACCCTTGGCGCCAACAGGTCCTGGACCACCTGGCGGTCCAACTTTACCTTCAGGTCCAGGTGATCCATCTTTCCCACTTTCACCTTGTTGTCCTTTATCACCTACTGCCCCGGATGGTCCTATAGGTCCTGCATCTCCTTTCATTCCAACCAAACCAGGCAAACCAGCAATTCCTCTTTCACCAGGAAAACCAGGCAGTCCAACTTCGCCTGGTATACCTGGTTTACCTGGCAGACCGGGTAAACCATTTGCACCTTCTTTGCCACTTTCTCCAGGCAAACCAGACTCTCCTGGAACACCAGGCGTCCCAGGCGTACCAGCTTCTCCAACCGGACCTGGCTCACCCGCCGGACCAGGCGGTCCAATCACACCCGCTGGTCCCGGGGGTCCTTGCGGACCAGTTGTACCTATAGGTCCCCTTTCACCTGGCGGACCAGGAATGCCATCCTTTCCGTTTAACCCAGCATTACCAATTGGGCCAGGAAAACCTCGTGTACCTTCAGGACCTGTATGTCCACGTTCACCTTGTGGACCAGGTGGGCCTGGTTGTCCAGTATCTCCTTTTGATCCAACAACTCCATCAAAACCACGACGACCTCTTGCACCACGATAACCCCTCGGCCCTACCTCTCCTCGTTCACCAGGAATACCTGTATTTCCACGATCTCCTTTCTCACCCGGTGAACCTTCTTTACCAGTTGCGCCTTTATCGCCTTTTTCACCAATATTTCCAGGATAACCAGCAAAACCTTGTGCACCTTGCTTTCCTTTCTCGCCAGCCAAACCCATAGGCCCTGCTTCACCCCTTGGACCATCAGAACCTTTAGGTCCTTCAGGGCCTTCCGCACCCGCCACACCTTGCGCTCCAATTGGACCTATGTCACCTTTAGCACCAATCTCGCCCTTTTCACCATCCAAACCACGATCACCTTTACTACCCTTCTCACCCATCAAACCTCTTTTTCCTTCATCACCTTTGCCACCTCTAGCCCCAGGAAAACCAATCGTACCAGCTGGACCTTGAACACCCTGATCCCCTTTAGCGCCTGGAATTCCCGGCGCGCCATGTTGACCAGGCGGACCATCTGAACCAGGCAAACCTGGCATCCCAGGTTTACCTTGAGCACCCATAATACCAGGAGGTCCAAGTTGTCCGGGAGGACCTGACGGACCCACTGGTCCCGCAGCTCCAGTCTGCCCTGGCGCTCCGGGCTGTCCCGCAGGCCCAGTACTCCCTTTAGCACCTTGAGGACCCTCATTGCCTGGTATTCCAGGATTACCTTGCAATCCCGCTAAACCTCTTGGACCCATAAAACCCCTCGGACCTATCTCACCCGGCATACCTGGTAAACCAGGAGGACCATCCTCACCTTGTACCCCATCATGACCAGGCAAACCCACAGAACCAGGAATACCTGTTAAACCCCTTTCTCCTTTCTCACCTGGCATACCAGGTAGTCCAATAGGACCTTGTTCACCTTTAGGACCTATAGGACCAGAGATACCTCTTTCGCCATCTCTACCAGGTCGACCACGAGGACCTTCACGACCTGGGTTACCAGGAGGTCCTCTTAAACCTCTAACACCCTAAACAAACCCCATTTGTTTAATAAGCATAAGAAAAACATAAGAAAATCAAAATACTTACCGATTCACCAATTTCTCCAACTTCTCCTTTGTTACCCTCCGGTCCTGGAGGACCCACAGGTCCAGGAAGACCTGTCAAGCCCATAGGACCTTCCATTCCGCGCATAGACATCATATGTTGAGACATTAACTGTCTAAATTGTTCTACATGAGTGTCTGGACCTTTTCATTACCCCCACCACCACCAGTAAGTTGGTTTAACTAAACAAACATTATATAAACATAACAAATTAAATTTTAATAAAAATGAACCTACAGGTATCATAAAAACATGTCCAGGTGGTCCTTGAATTCCAGGACTACCAGGAAGACCATCTCTGCCACGATCACCCTTGGGACCGGCTAAACCCGCACGTCCTGGTGGTCCAGGGTATCCTTGTGGACCAGGAGGTCCTCTGTATCGTGAATAATCATAGAAAACACTTCCTTCATCCTTTAATAACAAAAAGAATTAAAATTACAGCTAAAAGTGTTATTTTTTAAATCATACCGTGGGTGTAGTATTATTTCCAGTCATATCTACTCTTGATTCTTGCCCTTCTTCTTCATCATAACCATAACCATTAAAAGTCCTGTTAAATTCTTCTTGTGATATTTCATTACTTTCTTCAAAATAATGACTATCTTGGGTTGAGAATTCTGTACTTTCCGGTCTATCAGTAGTAAAACTATTATAAAGACTACGATTTGACGTAAAATATGACGCATTTTGTGCGCCATGTACACCAATAGTAGAAAACGTAGAATAATACGCAGCATCAGTTGAATATTGACAATCAGGGGCGTATTTAGCACACATATCATAAGCCTCATCAGGACGATCAGCAAATAACAACATTTCAACAGCTCCCTATACAAAATTAAATAATATTTTATACAGTGTGTTTATATTAATTTTTCTTACATGAAAATATCCATAATTGTCCAAATCACATCCGATTGTTGTAAGTCCTGAACTGTCAATGGTCGAACCCAAAGGACGATTCAATTTTCGTGTGATTGTTGTGTTGCAGTCTAAAATTAAAGTGACAGAATCGCCTTTTAGGCTAAAAGCAAGTCGGTGCCAACTAAAAACAAACATTTTGTTTAAAAATATCAACAATTTAGTTAAATATAAACATTTTACTTGTTAGAATTGTTTCTTTGGTTTAAATTTACACCGAAAGCAATCATCATGTCACTTTGCCTCACATCATCATTATCATCTTCATTTTCGTCACTAGAAAATGGCGGAGAAGTACCATCTTCAACTATATCCTCATAGTATAAGAACACATCATCACCAAGAATAATTTGTAACTGATCATTGCCTTCTTCATCGTAAATTCGTAACAATGTTGATGTAACACCTTAAAATACAATAAATTAAGTTAAAATAGGTTTAAAATGAGGTTATGTTTAACTTACCAGGTGTTGTTTTGACAGTTATCAAAATAGAAAAATCTTGTGGGAAATTTTCATAAATATCTTTAGTTCTCAGCATTGTTTGAGAAGATGAAGTAAACTCATATGCAAAACTATCATTATTAACTAAATTGTTGTTAAAATTAGCCGGAAATGTTGTTAAATTACTACAACGTCCCGGAACACGTAGAATTCCTTGTGGGAGTGACGCCAGGTCAGTTTTATTAACTAAATCCACTATAAACACTAAAAAAACAAATAAATAAACAAAACTATAAAAAAATATAAATTATTAATAAATACCTGGTGTATATTGAGCATTTGTGCCTATAAACAAACTAAAAAACATGAATACAAGGCAGCCATGTTGTTTTACATACGTGGCGGCCATCTTACAACGCTTTCCTTCAAGTTTTAACCTAAAAATCACACAAGAGTAAGATTTAGATCTATGTTAATGAGTTTAATGACAAATATAGTAATATAAATGTTTATTATCGTGAATGCCATCTTAGAATATAAATTTATTGCCGCGTCTGCGCGTTTATTAATAGAAATGTGTGCTTAAAGTCGTACTTAAAATATTTGCGTATTCAATTGCGTGCGCCATGCACGCACGCAGTAATTAAAAAGCAATAAAACATTTATTTAGGGCGAGACGAATTGACAAATCAAAAGAAATAAAATGAAATAAAAATAGAGCAAAAATGCAAAAAAATTTCAATGTAAACATAAATAAAATTTAATATTTAATAATAAATACCTGTATTTGAAGACATTTATTTTATTTTCTTCTATTTTCTTTAAAAATCTTCATTTTTATTCTTTATTTTAATTATTTTAAAAACATTTAAACACTTTTAATTCAAATTAATCTTTTTTTTATTAAAATTTTATAAATTTTTATGTTTAAAATTAATTTCAACGTCGATAGAAATAAAATTTGACTTCAGCGTTGTTTCAGCGCCGTCACGACACTGCTCAACATCTGAATTTGACGCATCACACTGAGAATTAGAATTAAACCGAGACTTATTACTTAATGTGTGTACCATGTGTTCAATTGAAACCCAGCATTGCTTTTTTCTCGTTTTTCGTTTCCTGCAAGAACTGTCTAATCGATTTTCGAAGATGTAATCATCATGTGCACATATGGTTAACTATTCAATTACAAAACAGATCCGTATCTACTTTACCCACATTTACACTCAAAACATAATTTAGTAAATAATTCACTTAATACGGTCCTGGAATAATTGTTTAGTGACACGCATCGTATTACAACGTATGGCAATTCAATTAAGATCAAGTACTTGAATTTACGCACATTTAACAAGACACACACAATTTGTTATTAACATTTGTTATAAATAACGTAACGACAGATTTACAAACTTGTTTGAAATGAATCCTGACGCATCATGCGTTGGAACTGCCAGAGAATCAATAAATTCGTTGATAAACTTCCTATCATCTACAAATATAACATAATATTATTATTTACAAATTTAATTTGTTTAAATAGTACTCAACTATTAATAAAAAGTTTAAATTCAACGAGAAAAAGTGATAAACATTGAACGTATTGTCTTGAAACACAAGTTGTTGTTGAATAAACAAATCCTAGAATAAAATCAATAATATAAACATGGCTGCCTACAAAATGGCGGTCATAACCTTACTTTATGCTTAGCACTCAACTTCATTCTAACATTCTCCGCTTGTGTATACGTAGAATGAAACAAATATATCGGTAACCCAGTCATAATCAATATATAAATCGTCCAGGTACCCATCGTAAACAAAAAGTAATAAGTCGTCATCAATTGCATGTAAACAACAAAGAACCCAGCTGTTAATGCGTACATATAAGTAACACAAAACTGTATCAACACATGTATATTAGCAAAATCATTAAATTTCCTCGATAAAATCCATAATTCATTATAAACATTAAAACAATAACGTTCTTGTGAATCATCCGCCATTTTGTGGGACATTTTTTCTTTGCCACGTAGTGTTTCATGTTCTAACCTTAAAATATCGAATAATTTTCGATATCTGACTTTAAACTGCTCCAAAAACGCATAGATAGTCAAGATAATCGCGTTTATCATCAACATTCCATTAAAATAAACACCAACACGAAATCCACCGAGTTCAAAAGCATCACTCACATACGTATACATAATAATCCCACTAATTGCACAAAAAAGCATCAAAAATATCTGCATTAATATAAAACGCAGTTGTTTCCTCTTTAAACTCTGATATTCTTCTTGTGAGAGTAAAGAATAATCATTATCAAGTATAACCAGAGCTTTTATAATCTCAATTAACAAATGGCCGTCTTTCCAGAAGAAGATGGCGGTTATAATGATAACCAATACATTACCCAGAGTCTGTATGCCTTCCATAATCATCGGTAGATTATCCAGCTTATTTTTCGACGCATGTAAACCTAAAATCGTAAAAATCCACAGTACAGCAATAATAATAAAACAAAAAACCGCCAAAAACTTATTAGGTGCTAACCGGGACAATTTAAGGTTAGCTTCGGTCATATCCGGTGTAACATAACCATGTTTAGCTTTAATATAATAATGATTAAGACCCATAACATTATAAAAAATCAAAACAGGACGAATAGTATCAAGAAAATCCAAATGTTTCTTCGGGATGATTTTTAGTGAGGACGTCGCCATTGTTAAACACAAATTAAACATAAACTAGAACATAAATAAACACAAAAATCAATAAAATTAATTAGTTAACACACCATATGTTGTTGTTATGTCCAAAACCAATTACGCAAATGAATTAATATCAATCTACGTCTAATTTATATTCATTAACAATAATATTTAGTATTTTACAGGCGATTACATGTTAGGTGTTAGGTATGTACATATGTTACATTAATTTATAAAAAATACATACAAATGTGTTCAAATAAAATCACATCTCATGAAATTATTAAATAATCCATTGGCTCTGTGGATTATTTTAATATTTTAAACTTTTACGTGAACACACTGTATAATTATTTAATTCTACAGCAATATAATTGGTAATAACTAATTAATTAGTATTTTGGCCACCATTTGTTGTGATATGTCGCAATGACCCACTTTCGACTGAATTAATTAAATCCATTAGTAAACTTGGAATAATTCAAAACTACCCCTTGCTATTCCACCCCTCAACCCTCTTCTTACCTTTACAACTCTTCACAACTACAATCGTGAATTCGTGAATTCGCACTTCTATAATCGCTTAATTCGCAATTAAGTTGCCCGCACCGTAAACTTAAACTGAAGGTGGTGGAAGTGGTATTATCGGGTCGCAGAGGGTGGAATTTAATGGCCTCTAATGAATGGCAGAGGGATGATATGCGGTATCACCGGATCGGGGTTGTGCGGTTCCTCCTCGCCGCTGCCATTTTGATCATCACCATCGTCATCGTCATCATAGTCGCCATCTTGTATATCATTCAAATCATCATCATCGTCATCGTCATCATCATCATCGGTGTTTTCCGGTTTGTGATAGTACGGGTGCGTGTTTTCCACGCCGGGAAGAAGTTTGCCGTTTGCACGGCGCTCCTCGGGTCAGCTATCCCGTTCGATATCAATGACCAAATTTCTAGCGTGTGTGAGGGTCGTCCACAGAGGTGATCTGCAAGATAAATATTATTATCTTTTTTTTGAAGAAAAATTAAAAGAACCTACAGAGTATCTAATAAAATCTAAAAGACAAACAAATTTAATAAGAGAGAAAAACATCATCTAATGCGGAAGAATTACGCGGAGTGGAAAAGTTTTATTAATGCGTTCGACCTTTGTTCTCGACGGATCCGGCGACATCCTGCGCAGCCGAGATTCGAGTGACTGATGAGCGATGAGAGGAAGCGAGTTATGAATGGAAAAAATAATAAGTCAAAAGAAAAATTATACCAAAATGGAAAAACTTTTTGCTGCTTTTTAGGGGTTAAAACTTCACCTAGGAATGGGTCCTCGTCATACGTGCATAGCCGAACTATAAAATAATAAACACAAATCATAAAACATTAAAATAAATCAACTTCCGGTTTGTGAAGTAGTCGTGAATTGAGGTTAGGATTACCTGTCCACGATGGAGACACCCCTGGCCGTATGCTAGCTGTCATGGGACTCGCGATCCGGTGTAATCATTTCGACGACTGTGGCTTCCGGTTCCGGATCCGAACGCTCTTCTACAACTGTGTCCAGTTCCATCGAGGGGAAGCCACGGCTCATACCGCGTTCGGAACGTAGAGAAACAGCTCTTGATCGGCCTGATTGAAAAAAAATACAAAAATTTTAAGTAAAATGACTTAACCTCAAATTTTTAGATAAAAATATGTAGGGGTTGTTTTTTTTGCTAACTGAAGAGTGAAGAGGGTTGCGTTAGCCTAGTTACCTAATAAGTGTACCGGGCTGTATCTGACAATAGAGAAAGTACCGTGATCGTAGTCGTAGTTTCGTCGACGCGCTTGTTCACGCGCAAGCTTCGCGCGCCTGCGCAGACAGCAAATCACCAAGAGCGCCAGCAGTGGAAAGCCCAAGATGCAGGAGATTATTGGTACCACTACTGTTTCCGGTGCGACTATAAACAACGCGTACACAAATAAAAATGGTGGAAATATATTTGAGAGCTTCTCAATTATACAGTGTGTTTCTATTAGGGGATAGAGATAATTACCTGTTGGGTAAATCAAAATGACCGGTCGTTTATTATGCGGCTGTGCGTTACCGGCCGCCATGTTGGTTTTGGTGCTCATGTGGATGCGGCGTGCGTGTGAATTAATTATGCCATGCTCGAAATTCCGCCGGGGCAATCAATTATTCAGGATCGAATCAGGCCCATTCCACTTGGAAGCCTGACATTGCCGATAGTTAATTTGCGAATTTGTACGAGTTAAAATTTCATGTCTGCAACCAACAACACACATGAACTATATTTATGCAACCAAAAATACATTTGATGAAAATTTCAATAGAAAAAATTTAAAAACTAAATTTCTCAATTATAGAACAACTTAAATTTTCATTGCAAATACACATATTCAATATATGCAACCAATAATACATGTTAGACGTATGTATGCAACCAAACAGACATTTTCTATGCTTTTCAAAGTCAAAATCAACAGTTTTGATGAAAAAACACATAAAAATTAATTTCTGATTTTGATCGAGTTAAATTTTCATGTCAATCAAGTACATTTAATATATGCAACCCAAAATACTCATAACTCATACATATGCAACCAAACATACATATTTTGCGCTATTCTTCAACATATAACGCAAAAAATATGCAAATTGAGCGATTTGATGAAAAAGCACGTAAAAAATCAGCAGAAAAACTCAAAGTGCTTATTAATACCCGGCGTTACCGACGTTTGCGTTTGCGTTTTCACGCTCGAACGTTTTCCACTCCAATTCAGTTTATTTCATCCTCTCTCGCTCGTAAAAAAATCGATTACGATGCAAAGAAGGTAAAAAATAGTAAATCTACACCGTCTCAATTTTACGCCGAGATTTACCCACCCAGACACACACACACACAACGCCCCGCAATCTGCTTGTTCTCAAAGAGGGTTGAAATCGTTGAAAATGTTGCTAGTGTTGTGCGAATGTTGCAAACCGTTCGCGAATGCATTTTATTCCACTTGGCGCGTTCCGGGTCAGCGGATAAAGACTTTTCGACTACAGTCCTATTTTCTACATGCGTGCTTTCAAATGCAGAATGTAAATTTATCGATTTATATCGCGCACACAGCACAGCGAGAAAAAAACAGGTGATGTAATGCACTGATATCATAACGAGAATAATGTAATTTCCGGTTGCGGAAATTCTGATTAAAACATGATGACACAGAGAGGGCAGGAAATTTGACTTCTTTTTACATCACGCTGCGTTATCATCCACATAAAATTTATTTTTTATTTGAAAATTTAACAAAAATAATCAATTAAATGCTAAGTGACACTTTAGTCACGGTTTTGCTTGTCCGTGACTAAAGTATTACTTTTCGTGTCTTAAAACCGTAGAAAAAGTAGTGCTTTGGAGGTGAAATTAGGAAATATTATATCAAGTGCACTAAACGACACTTTAGTCACGGCTTTAGCTATCCGTGACTAAAGTACCACTTTTCGCCTCGCAAAACCGTGCAAAAAGTGCTAAAAATAGAAAAACCTAATTTTTTAATTCAATTTTTTTGTCCTGTTGACAGTTTCGGTTTGGCAAATGGCTTTAATGGCTTTTACGAAGTGGCTGCGCCGTGTCAAAAGTTCCACGGCCCGAGTGGAAAACGCAAAAAGCACAAAAACTTTCCGAATGCACTCACGTGGCGCGACAAACATTATTGGTTTCGCGTCGACATCGACAGTTATTACCGTCTGGAAAGTTTTTAATTTCGAAAAACGACTTTTTCGCTTTTATTCAATTAAAATCAACGCGCAAAAAAACCACCACCATTAAAACCACAATTCCATCTAAACCTATTTCTAGTTTATAAACAAAACAATACACAAACCACCAACCGCCAACCACAACCCCTATCAGCGCAAAACTATGCATAACTATGAAAACAATCAAACGTCGAACATGTTGAAACAATCAAACGAAAACTATTGAAATTCAGCGTGTGGCTTGTGTGCAGCCAAAGTTCACTTCAATCATGAATAGCCCCGCAGACAAGCCAGCTGTCATTGTTCACCCCTTTTGAATTCAACATCCACCATCCAACCCCTCAATGAAACATTGATTGGCAGATGAAATCAATTCAATTAATTTCGAAATTAATTTTTTTTCTCTTTCGAATTTTCTGATTACCCTGTATATTTTTCTGCATAAATGTAAAGTTAAACTCGGCAACCACTAAACGTAAAAGGTGTGTGGTATGCACGCGCCTATCTATACACTATCGCCATCCGAAGGGATAGGATATGTAAGGGATGAAAGTTGGGGATGATCGCTGCGTGTCGCAAATGTAGCAAACCACATTCCGCGCGTTCGCATAACCTGATATGCGGGCTTCTACCGTCCCGCCGCCCCCGCGCGGCCGCTCGCATGATAATATCAACCCCTTTGGCACGTCACAAACCTAGCCGCAACATATCGGCAACGCTATGAATGCCATGAATTTCTGAGTTTCGCAGAATAGCCCAACGCAAATATCCATACATACAGAGTGTTCACATTAAAAAATTAGTATAATATCAGTAGTTGTGTATTTTATGTATTTGGGAGTGTGAAATACCGGTATTTGAACAAAATATACCAGTATTTTTCTTCAAATACCGGTTTTAGAGGTTAATTTAGTAATTAGTGGGCAAATTTAAAAATACCGGTATTACCGATGTTTTTGTTTTAAGAAAATACCGGTAAACCGGTTTTCTTCTTTACAAATACCAAAATACCGGTATTAAACACCACAAAATTCAAGTCCCTAGTGTATACACAGTGTATAACTTAACTAGTAAATAGTGAAAAGCGGAAATGACTAGAACCAGAGAAGGGCAGCCGAGGGTGGAAAATAAGGGTGGCTGGCAGGATGTATCAGGGAAGAAACACCACTTGATGTAGCACATCTGGCACATCGCATATTGAAAGTACACGGTTACTCTTACTCTTACACCACCTCAACTCTTACAACCCTTATCACATTAAAAAATACTTTTTTTTTTAATAAAAACAAAAATAATTTTCTAAAATGTTGATATTCATACCCTTAACTTCATTAGAGATGATTTGATTACGTCTTGCGGGTGTAATCGAGAGGAAAACGCGCGTGTGCAAAGCGTGCTTCTCAGAATGTTATGTTATCCGGTTGGAATTCAATGAGGGTACAATGGCTGAAACTACCCGCGCAATTTCCCCCACCCCCTCGCATGCCATCCGCGCCGCTGTTGTTACGCCATTACGTCATTAGACTGTTAATACAATCGTGCATCGTGAGAATTGTAAAGTGGAATTCGCGGAATTAGCATTTAGTCATTTTCCGGGAATGTAATTTCCGCAGCACTAAATATAACTAAGAAAATTGCATAAAAATCCACGCGTAAAGAAAAAACAAAATGGCTACCGGATATCAATGCTAATCTTATGTAAAAATTTTTTTTTCATTAAAAATCTTGATTTCAAACATAACTTTTCGTATTTTTAACTTATTTCTCAATATTTTTAATGTTTTTGATTTTAAAAACAAAATGGCGACCGGATATCAATGTTAATCTTATGAGAAAACATTTTTTTCAGTAAAAATTATAATTTCAAGGACAAATTTTCATACTTTTAACTTATTTCTTTATATTTTTATTATTTTTGTTATAAAAAACAAGATGGCCACCGGATATCAATGTTAATCTTATGAGAAAACATTTTTTTCAGTAAAAATTATAATTTCAAGGACAAATTTTCATACTTTTAACATATTTCTTTATATTTTTGATGATTTTTTATAAAAACCAAAATGGCCACCGGATATCAATGTTAATCTTATGGAAAATAAGAAATATTATCGTTTCAAAAGCAAAAAGAAGCAATTTTGATCGTGGTGTAATAGACTTGAGTTTTTGCTACACTTTTCCGAAGCATTATCCTTTTTTATTACAAATTGTAACAATTTCTGCAAACGTTTTACTCCACTTTGCGACGCCTGTGTTATACGTTTCTTTCTGCGCTACTCGCTTCATTATTATACATTCCTCGCTGTCATTTTTTCCGCTCCATTTCAGCGGCGCTACATTTTTCTTGTTATAACAAGCTCGGCGACGCAAGCGATGTCCTGATATTCAGATATCTTGATGTCCTGACACTTTAGGCACTTGTGTCCTTGAAGATAGAAACTTGGGTATATTTCATTTTTTGGCACGTAAAAAAGTGCACAAATTGCAAAAAAATGAAAAACTCCATAAGAATTACATTAATATCCGGTGGCCATTTTATTTTAGATCTTAATTTATTATTGTTAAATTTTTTTGCTGTTTAAGAAGAAATTTTCACAAAAAATGAATTAAAAACATGAAATTTCTCTTTCAAAGTGAAATTTCTGCTGAAAAAACTAATTTCCCATAAGAATAACATTGACATCCGGTGGCCATTTTGTTCTAGATCTTTATTAATTAATGTCTATATTTTTTTCTTGTTTAAAAAGAAATTTTCACAAAAAATGAATTAAAAACAAGAAATTTCGCTTTCAAATTGAAATTTCTGCTGAAAAAACTAATTTCCCATAAGAATAACATTGATATCCGGTGGCCATTTTGTTTTTTTAGTGATTCTCCAATTTAAATCAAAATCTCAGGTTTTGCTAAATTATCTAACTATAAAAGTTATTAAATGAACTAAAAATATGAAATATTACTCTTGAAATTGAAATTTTTGCTAAAAAAACAAATTTCCCATAAGATTAACATTGATATCCGGTGGCCATTTTGTTTCTTCCCTAATACATCTTATAATACTTCAATTATGCTTAAAAAAGAAAAAACAGAGAAAAAAGACAAAAAAACACAAAAAATACAAAATCTCATTGACATCCGGCAGACATTTTGTTTCCTGCCTTCATATCCACCTCATTATGCCCAACTTGTATAATGAACAAACTTTTCCACCCGTAATCAATTGAATTGAGTTGTAGTCGAGTTGAAATCCCGCACAATTAACACGAACACAAACTCTGCACAACGAACAATAGATTAACAACCGATCCAGACCAGCTACAGGCAACCAACATGGCGTGCATTATGTATATTACACGCCATCACAAAAGCTGATAAATTACCGCCATCTTGTTGAATTCACGACTGCTCAACCACTCCCAGTTGTAGGTGCGTGCAATTGCCCATCGCTAAACATTATCGAACGAAATAATTGTTCCAGCGATAATTGTCTACAGTGTAAACAAAACCCAACACACACA